TCGAGGGTTCGCCCACAATCGATCTCGTCGGTGTCCCTCCTCGTCCTGGCACCTTTTCCAGCATCCAAGGTCTAATGATCCTTTGATGGTGGCTGGGGTCTTCGATACCGTGGAAAAATTCAACAAACCCCACAGCTGCCGTACCTGCGGTCCTTGTATACGGCTGATAGCTGTGGAAATGGTGAAAGACTGCATCGTCGAGATGCGACTGATGAATCGCCTTGGGCCACGGCATGCGCACCCAGATCTCCTTGACAAAACAGTATGAGTTGAGAAAATCATCCACGCTCCCGGCATAGTCGGGGTACGCCGTGCGATATCTGACGAAAAGACTGTCAGCCTTAGTTGACTTGTTCTCCTCGTCAACTCCACCATACGCAGATTGACGGGTGATGGGAGTCGAAGTCCGCCGCAATGCGAGGGTCGTAGAGTCTAGCCGTTGATTCTGCCGTCTGTGCACGGGTGCTTCTCCCACAAGGCTCGCGGGGCTGTCTGTATCAATTCGTGACGACCGAGGAGATCGACTTGTCAACAACTGAGGCTCGCCAGTCGATCGCAAGGTTACCAGACGGTGTTGCTTCACTTGCTCAGACGCCAAAGTCTCACTATCGCAGCCCGCAGCCATCCTCGGCTCTGAAGCAGGACGTCGCAGAGAGTTCTCGAGCCTGTCAATCTGACCTCGTCGCTGTCTATGATCTTCTGATGCCTTCTCAACAATCTCTCCATTTTTGAGATCGCTGTCCGCGGCTTCTTGCTCTTGCCGTAGCTTTTTGACGGGAGAATTGCGGCCTTTCGAGTCTGTGCGCTTTCGTTTTGCCGATACAGAAGAAATTGATTCACGGCTTGCAGACACAGCTGGTGATGGAGGGTTTCCGTCGTCGTCAGAACTGATTGAAGGCTGGAAACCATTCTCTGCCGCACGGTCTTGTCCTCCTACAGATACAAGACGACTGCGGACCACTTTCTGAGAGCTAGTGCTCGCAGAAAGAGCATCTTCTGCACTGACGTTGCGGGCAGGGATTGGGGTCTTGCGCGAATGAGTGTGGTCGATCCCCGTTGCTTGAAACACCTGTGGTGCACAGTATGCTGCAATGAGGCTATTCTGGGCCGATCCCGCGGTCGGATTTGAGCCCTCATCTGCGGGCAGAGCCTCGATACCTGGTTTCATCACTGCCACTGCAGCAATCTCCCCTGAGCTTGGCTCATCGTAGGTCCTAGGGACAAAGGTCGAAGCTGGATATCCATCACTGATCTTTTTCTTTTGAATAGTCAGATCGTCTTGAGCACCCACGAGACGGGGGAAATAAGGCCCTTTCCCACCGTAGGGCGTCCGCGCAACCTGAATCCCGTCAGACTTTGAGCTGCCTCGTATCCCAACAACCTTGGGAGGCATCCCTTCTTGGTACGAGCTCTTATCACTCGGGTCAGCTTGCGGTAACTGCGCTGATTGTGGAACCTCCGCAGCCGATGGTCTTGAACTGACACTCTGATGCGAACTCGCTTCCAAAGAACCGGGACTATGTTCATAGGACAATGATTGGGGCTCGCGCCCTTGCTCCCGGTCGGCAGGGTTGTTGGAAAACGGCTCTTGACCACTGGACAATGGGCTCTCCTTGTTTGGATTGCCAGCAAGATGGGGACGCTGTTTCTGTCGCGTGAGATCCAGTGGCGGACTATTCGGCGGTAATCTAGTGACTCGCCGCAGTTGAGTTGGTGGGCTCTGAGACCAATCGGCAAACTCCTCAGAGTCGCTCACATTTCCTTCACTGGGGGTCCCTGATTTCAAGTCCTCGTCTCGTGAGTCCTGCGCTGCCGAAACACCTTGCGTTGAGAAATCAGGTGCTGCAATCTCCAGAGATGAGCCGAGATCACTCGCTCGATTGTCAGCAGCGTCCGAGAGTTGTACCAGGAGGTCTAGAGGCACCCCTCCTGGCCTCTGGGGGCGACCAACGAGTGGCGGTTGCCAACAGTCCCCAGACTCCAGAAGGGACGCCAATAGCTGTGCCTGCTGACGCGGAATCTGTTGGATGCGCTTGGGAACATATCTGCCTGCTTGTGCCTCTTCTTGCAACCGATTAAAGTGGCCCAGAGGCTGTTCAGCCGATGAGACAACATTTGGCCTTAGCGGACTCGATTTTGTGGATAGCTTGGGTATCTCTTCGTGATTTTGATCTGCCGACTGTCTTGAAGATCCAAGAATGTTGCCTCCTAGCTCAGACATCTCCACAGGACTGCTCTTGTCATAGTTTGTTGTGAGAACCGGAATAACTTGAACTCCTGGCGAATTAGGATGTGTTGACCGGGAGAGAGCTCTGGTTGCGAGTTCTGTTCCTGGGTCATCTGTCGTTGGTAGAGCCAATGGAGACTCATGAGGGGGTGTAATGCTTTTACCCGTAGCGAAGGTGCGATCCCCCCCTGGCGCAGACCGTTGTGCCTGTTTCGAAGGGCTACCGTATGCAGAGCCGATTGAGCCTTGTCTACTCAGGGGTGGTGGCACTGATTGATTCTCATCGCACCTGGTGGCTGGCCCATTTTCGTTGCTAGAGGTCGACTCTATCTGTGTGGTTCTGTCCCAGTAAGTGAAAGCGTTGGGAACCTGTGTACAGAATAACTGATGGGAGACATCTTCCTCAGGATCCCCACCAGGTTTTCTATCCACATGGTGTACCTGGGCATTGAAATCAATCTGTGATTTGAAGGAGTCGGGACTGCCGCGTGAGGCGGGAGTCAACGGAGCACGATTCTGCTCTTTCACGGCCCAATACCTGGATATCCTTTCGCGTACATCTTTGTCTTCAGTGACAGCGCAGCCAGAAGAATGGTCTTGTTCCCGCTGGTCCGTCTCATTCACAATCCTGTAGGCCGCAATCTCGAGCAAGGGTTTCGGTGGGTTGACATGAGGAGTAACGCGAAGGACAGGATTGGTAAGGTGCAAGAGTGTCCCTTGCTGAGCATCGGACTGTTTTATTTCGACTGCGGTGCCCTTGGTGAAGATGGCTTCAATCTTGTGGATTCCGTCAGAGATCTCCCCACAGGGTTCTATCGTACCAAGTTTCGGCAGCTGATATAGAGTCAGCGCATTTAGCCTAGACAAGTACCCAAACTCGCCCTTACCTTCAGGAGGTACACAGTTCTGGAACATGTCGCCCTATAACTTGCTTTTAGTTTATCGTCAATCTTGTGAAACTGATAGTCGGTAGTGCGGCATCCTTCAAGTTCACCAAACCACGCATCGAGACTGGACGTGATGAAATCGGCCAGCCATGGCTCGTGGGGTTCCATAGGCCCCGGGAGATTGATACATCCGAATGTACACGATAGATATCGAAGGGTCGCATTATTCGACGCAACGACATTCCTGAATTCAAGTGTCTGCGGTGCCGCATCCGGAGGTGCCTGTTTGCTGTTCAAGGGCAGGTATGACGCGTTTCGACGCGACTTTGGATGCCAAGGCGAGTAATTGAAAACTGGTCGCCCCTCACCCCGAGCTCGGGCTAGCGCGACGCCACCCAGTGCTCAACACAGTCGAGCTCAGTCCTTGTTTGATAGCTCTTAATAGTAGTTTGTATCAAAGATGGTGCTTGCAAAAGAGCCTCGTCAAACACGTCCTGACCTGACGGCGTGAAGGATACTTTGCCAATATCCTGGACGATTCACCCTGCTGCCTGCAATTGGATGAATTCCTGCGACCAATAATGATCCCCGTGTTGACTTTTGACTGACAGTCGCGATGTAGCATTCAGGTTCGGAAGTAAGAAGCCCTGCTGCAACGCCTGCTGCCTAGTCGACTCTCTCTTGCGCTTCTGGTACTTGATCACAAAATATTCCGCCTTCCTTCTTTAAGACATCAGGATCACGTCTGCCTCTCCCCGAACAGCGATTTTCTATCATCCAGATCAAAGTACCGAGCTATTCCAGTCCCGAAGCAATCTAGCAATGTCTGCTCCGACTACCAACGACGGCAACGCCCAACCTGCAACCGGCTATACTGGTCCGCCCGCGCACATCATGATCAAGGAGCACATCCTCACAGATGAGATAATCAAGCGCCACAACGACCCTGAATCCATTCTGGGAGGTCCAGATTTGATCCTCCTCTATGAATACGTCAAGGCTCCAGATCAGAGGCTCGACATACTACGGGAGCACGATATGTTTGATGCGGAAGGCGCTAGAACTGGCTCACGCGCTCAAGAGGCCCACCATAGTATTGTTGACTGGTCAATGGCAAACGATTACTTCGACGAGGAAGATATTGCAAAGCTCAGAGGATGGTTTGATGCGGGGAATGCTGACGAAAGTATGATGGAGTATGGCTGGAAAAGGCAGTGAGACTTGTCTCCACGACGTTCTCGTCTTGCACTATAAAGTGGCGCGGAAGCGATTTGTGGATAGTGTCTGCACGCAGGCCACCCCATCATTTCCCCATCGGCGGCTGCAGACGCCTCTGGCCTTATTTTCTCCAATCTTCGTAGGTAGCCTGAGTCATGATCAACAATTGCAAAGTACTGTGGGCGAAGACCAGCCGACGAAGAGGAGGAGACGACTGCCGAGGATATACCCTATGGAACCTACTAAAGTAGGTGTATATTAGTATCAACGTCTGACTCGAGAATAGCCCCGTACACGAGCATGTCGACGTAACAATCCCCGCGTAGATGGTAACAAGTCTCTTCTGATGCCTCTTCCAGAACAAATGGTGTCTTGAGTCCATGAATCAGGTATATCGTTGACCCAGGTCTGATCTGAGCAGGTCCCAGGCCGAAACTTCCGGTCCTAGCGACGAAAAAAATCCTATATTTGCATGCCTCGACCGCCTCGTACCCATAAGTGAACGCATCCGAAAGTCCCTCGCTGCTTGGATTGAAATAGTGGCGTAATCTGTCTTCGGAACAGTCCTCCTCTTGATCCGAAACATGAAGAAGCCACTTGGTCCAGCATTCGAAGCGTTCAATTTGTTGGGCGCGTGTTCGAGGCACTACTGGCGACAGCGATAAGTGTTATGGCAAATCGATGCACCCAGTCTTCATCCTCTGCATCTTGACCACAGACAGATCTTGCCAAAGCAAACCAAATGTTGAGAATTCCCTCAATTTTGAATGTTGAGACCTCGATCGCAGGCAGTCCGGTAGAAGTGGCGGACCAATAACCTTCACTTCGTTCACAAGGAGAGCTCTGACGCGCAATCTACGTCGAGACGAATCAAGTTGAAAGTCTGCAACAGAGTGAGTTGCGGAAAAAGCAAGACCATCGTTGACAGAATTCTCCGAGAGAAACGGTAGCGGCCTTGTTTTTATCCTCCAATCCGGGCTCCACGTGGCGGCCACGTTCGATTCGTCGTTCATGTACGGAACATTATAGATTTGAAGTCCACCAGCAGTGGGGAGAACGACAGGCCTGCTGTCGCCCGCGAAATGCAGGATGTCCAAGTTCCCAGTGGCAGAAATGTATGACTCGGCAAAAATTTGGTAGACTCCGCCTACATCGGTGCGATAATTGGGAGAAAACCACGGCGAAGGATTCCCCTTAAAAGCCACGCTGACAAGTGCATTGAGTCTGTCTCGATCGTCTGTACAATTCCAGTGACTAAACCTGTGTGCTAGGTGAAGGAAGCTCTGGGATTTCCCCACCATAATTGAACCTCTCAAGTTGGTCAGCTGAAGCCCAAGGTTGAAATCGTTCATCAGATCCACTGGAGGAGGAAACAACGCGATCATACTGATGAGTCGCAAGACGCGGCAGAAGGGGTCTCCAGAGATCTCGAATTTCCCGCATCGGATACTGAGATTGGAAGACAAAGCAACCTCTTGGACCACCCAGAATCTGGTAAACCATGGTCGTTTGACCAAGGCGAAAACACCTCGCCAGGCTGCGTTAGTGGGATCGGCGAAAACTTGAACTCGATCATCCAAACATAGCTCTTGAGCGAGTTCCTCGAGTATAAGAAGAGGACGCTGAGCTTCCGATCCTTCGACGACGCCACGAGTCTCACTTGGCAGAGCCGCAAAGAACTCAAGTAATCGGAAGGCCAGCCTGGTGTCCTCTGCTGGCTTTCCAAGCCAGGCAATAACCAGATGGGCGTGACCATAGATTTGCGCCATAAGAACCACTTGCGATTCTTTTTCATGGTCATCGGCTTGTCTGATGCACACCTGGTCTGCCCAAATCAGCTTTACTTCTCTTTCTCGCAGGATCTCCGAGAGACCATCGAAAAGCGAATCCGGAACATCGATGGTGCAGTCCTTGGACAGAACAACGTGCTTTGTACGTGGCTCTTTCCACACGTATGAAATAGCACAGTATTCTGGACAATTGGATAATCGAACGGATGTTAGACGGCCGTACAGCCGTCCACCTGGTAGGTCGGATCTCGATAACTCGAACAGCCTTATGCTGTCATCCCATTCTAGAGAGGGGTAGGCAGAAGCTGACCCCATATTTGCGTCGTCTCACTTCGTTGAATGATGGAGATGAAGCCTACAGAGCGACAGAGAAGAGTAACGATCAACTCAAGTCATCTGGGAAGTTAGAGGATCCTCGACGCGTCTTTTGCTATCTTCTCGAATAGACATGTTAGCAATTCCGAATGGTGCAGAAGACGAAGGCAACCATGCTTGATAGGCCCAACGAATACGAGGCAACCAAAATCCAAGTAACATGCCCTTGCAATCATTGGCCATTGGCGGCTAGGTGCAAAACTCCAAAGACGAAATCTCAGACGAGCGGAAAGTACTTTCCCTCTTGTCAGGATCTAACTAAACTCTGCCTACGGCACGCTTTGGCGGTCCTGAGGTTAGCTCTTGTATAAACGCTGACTGGGGTGACCAAAAAAAGCAACGCAATGTACGCCTTTCAACCGTGAAGCAGAATCTTAAACCACCACGGCTGACCATTCACGAATGTGGACAGTTTCTTTTATTTACGTTCACTGGCAGAGAAGATGGTGATGGGCTCACACGTGCGAAGCCATGCTACCAACCTGGCCATTTCCCCCTCAAGATCAAAGCTTTGTTGTCCACTGAACAGCTCGACCACTGAGCATCTTTTAGAGTGGCTACCCGGTTCCGGTGACGAGGTCAGCAACCAGGGCGGACTAAGGTGTGACGGAAGGTGACGCGTTTTGCAACGCCCCAGCCGGGAAGCGTCCAGGTGTGCCCAGCAGTGCGGTTTCCACGCCTGCCCGAACACCCAGTCAAAACTCAAGTAGCAGTAATTAACTTCCGACAGAAGGCGGTTCAAGCGGGTTGCCTTGTCCTGACGGACGCAGGACTGAATGTGGAGGTTGCGTTAGTACTTGGGTAGCCCACAAGAACGGCACTTCGAGCTCAGCGCCAACAGGATGGGTGGGGAAAACTTACACGTTCAGTCGCCGCTTGCAATATGCGATGGGTCAGACGATATTGACAGCAGGTATAACTGGGAGATAAAGGACATCGGAGTCTTGAGAGCAAAGAAAATAGAGGTCACGGAGCGCATCCTACATTTCATCCAAAGACATTAGATGGGTTAATGCCATCTTCCCTGCAAGTCGTCCTCGCTGCAGAGTACGTTCGTGATCTTTCTTCGTCTTAAAGACATACTTGCTCCCTCCCACGACTTGGTCAACCTCCGCGTGCGCTCCTCTTGTGGACCTATTTGTCTCTGCTTCAGCCCATAATTTCTCTGCGGCAGTATCTTGTCCGCCATGTCAGGACGGTATCAGGAGGAGGCGAGGAGGAGCGGAGAGAGCAGGAAGATTCCCGAGAGGGTCGGATGGTGAAGCACGCTCGGATTTGGGCTCCATTATATGCTCCGCGAGAACGAACCTGCATTCAGCGGCAGGGAATGATGGGTGGTACCTGGACCCTAGGAGCCTAGAAGCCAGCCACGACCACCACCGACGCGCCGACATGACCACAGGACGAATTGGATGAGGACGACGGCGAGTGTGAGAAACAGGTGCGAAGGGGTGCAGTACTGAGCTGACGGGGATTTAAAAGTGATTTCCAGGTGAGCGGAGAGCAGATCTTATTCTGCTTGTGCCGACAAGCCATCTTCTTCTGTCAACTGACTATCTACTGCCCCGCGAATGCATTCGCTTTTGTCCTCTTCCGCTTCTCTTCTTCCTCCTCCTTCTCTGATACAACGACCTCTTCTCGGATAGATGGAGCGCTCGCTACGATTTGTGTCCACATTGGGTATCACGAAAAATTGATGCCTGAGAGTTGAAGCCGTGTCAGGAAAGAAAGGAAAGCCGCAGAACAAGTCGTCCAAGCCCTGCTGCAATTGATATAGGTGGACTTACCTCCGTCACACAAGACGGTCTGACCCGTGATGTTCCTCGCCTTGGGACTTGCTAGAAAACTGACCAGATTGGCGATATCTTCCGGGGTCTGTTTGCACCGATTAGCCACCAGGCAGTCAGCTCCAGAGGGAATCCGAGACTTGGACGGACCTGCGAACGCTTGAGCACTGCTCGTGCCTCGACAGATTTCTGGAACGCAACTTCTGGATCAATGCCATGTCGCTGGGAGAGGCTGGCGCCAATCGCCTTCCACATCTGATGTGTTTCAAAGAGTAAGCAAGATCCCTCTCACACTGGCCCATGCCAAACGACGTGCAGTCACTCACCGGTGTGTCGACGGGGCCGGGCGCGTAGGCTTTCGTGGTTGCAACAGTGAGTATCAACTATTTGACCGGAGGCGAAGTCCAGACTAACCATTCACCTAAGATGGGTCAGTCGCGGTCATGAACGAGGGGACATCATTTGCCATTACGTTGATATCGTAAGGTGCAAACTCTCCCGCCGCAAGCTGGGTCAGTCCCCGAACAGCCCATTTGCTGGTCGAGTATGCTCCAGCATTGCCGGTCTGCCACCACGGTCAGAGTTACGTCCGAGACTCTGTATAAGCAGAGCCATGTAGTCGAGAGAACGCATACCGCCTTGAAGCCAGCAGTGGAACAAGCCCCGAGGATTTTTCCTCCTTTGCCTTGCTTGATCATCTGCTTAGCTGTAGGCATCTCAAAGTCAGTTCTTTCGACACGTCTCAGCCGCAAGATCCGTGGGTTGATGAATGCTCACCCGCCTCTCTATAACAAAGCAACACGCCGCGGACATTGACCTGGAGAGACACCGGTAAGGAGGGATTCAGGATCAAGAAGATGGTATTAAGGAAGCATTCTTCTCACAGCCAAGACTCTGTCCCACTCTTCCACGCTAACTTCCAATAATGGCTTGGGGACGATGATTCCTGCATTGGCGACCATAACCTGGGGATGGGATGTAAGTGCGCCAGCTCCTATAGCAGCACCAGTGAAGGGGCTCGCACGTTCAGTTCCCCCAGCTCGCTGGCCGTCTTTTGCACCATCTCATGGACCTCGCGTTCGTTGCTGACATCGGCAAAAAGACAGATCGATCTTCTGCCTGCGCCGGAATTTCTGTGAGCATTTGGAAACAGGCAATGCAAGACAATTTTGACGTTCCCAGGAGTGGCATCTCCACCGCTGAGGTTCTTCTCACCTTTTGCTTCCACTTCCGACTTGACGGCCTCCAACTCTTGGGCCTGTGCTTTGATGTCATTGACCTAAAAGATTGTAAGCTGGACAGTCACGATCGCATCTCCTCTTCCCGCGAAGAAGACGAGTTTCTTTGCACTCACTGCAACATCCATCCCATCATCGGCAAGCTGCAGGGCAACCGCCCGCCCGATGCCCCTTGAGGCGCCTGTCACAATTGCCACAACCATTGCTTATGTCACCTTTACAAAAAGAGTCGTCTTCTTCTTGGACGGTCTTGTTCTCGAATTTCCAGGATCCGATGATTGTTGCCCATCTATCGAGGCCACTTTTTGTATGTCGATATTCTCCATCTGAGCCCCAGGGCATGGACTCCGAGGCTCAATCTGCGCGTTGCATTACTCCACCACCCCACCGCCTTTTGCCGAGTGCTGCTCGGTAGCCGGCAAAACGTCGATTGAGCACGACCCCGGTGGAACCGCCCGTGTACATTGGGGCTCCACCCCTTGCCGATGCGAATTTGGGCATCGGAGACGGTAGGCTGGGGAGTTGACGTTGACACCACGCCTCTCTTCCCTCCTTCGTCTAATAACCTGCTATATAATGGACTACACAGCGTCGTTCACGGAAAACCGGTTAGTGTACGCAGCCAACAGGGCCTGAATCTCTCTCTGTTCCTAGTTTTATCCGATGGTTTCCGGGCCGCCAGAGAGCTTGCTACCGGCGACGGTAAGCTCTCGTATAGAACGAAAGGTAGACGGATATCCTCAAACCTCTAAATTAATGATCTGTTTCTTTAGTATTTCCTCTTAAGTCGTTCAATAGAAGCGGTTGTGATTCGTGCGTAATTGTCTTTGAAAGTCTACCTTTAACGCGGCGAGCGAGGGGAGCGTGACTGCCGTTATATACGGCGGCAGCAGCGCGACTAGAAGGATATCGCTGTTATACGATATTGTCGACGGCTTGTTGGATAACGAGATCTCTATTAAATGCTATTTGAATAGCATTCAAGCTGTTTTGGTTGAGTTGTACGTTGGTAAAGATGGAGGGATCAGCGAATGCAAACCACCCCAGTGAGGAGGACGGACAGAGTAATTCAAATGCTATCTCCAGCAAAAGCTCAGTTCATTGACTCGAGCCCGCACGTCCACTAACATTTCCCAAGTTTCTTGATCTGAAGCTGATTGTTGCTTTCCCCGACAAGAAGCACTGCTGAGATGCGGTCCGATGCTGGAGTCGGCGTCGGCGTCGGCGTCGGGGTGGCGGATCAGGGCAGCTCTCCCGAGTCCTTCAATGCCGTAACCACTTCACTCGCCGCCTTCAAGGCGTCTCTACCCGCGGGAACACCACAATAGACCATCGTGTGCCGGCAGGCCTCACAGAGTTCCTCTTCACTGATGCCATTGTGCAGTGCTGCTCGGAGATGGATCTTCAACTCTGGCGCGCGATTCAAAGCGACGAGCATAGCGATGTTCATCAGGGACCGCTCTCGGAATTTGAGGCCAGGCCTGGAATAGCTGGAGAAACAGACTTCGGAGATGAACTCGGACGCCGTCTTGGTGAATATATCATCCTTCTACAGCAATGCGAGTGGTTAACCCGGAGAACTGGTTCGCATAAACACTCACCCACACGAAAGGGGAGTAAGGCTGGCCACTCACTGCATCGCGTCGCAGTTCTTCGAGATGCTTGCTACCAAAGAACTCGTTCCTCATTTTGGCACCGACGGCCAGTTTTGTATCAGGTTCGGAAGCCATGATGTGGAATAAAGGGGCCGAGAGGGAGAGGCAGAAAGGAAAGGGCTTCGTGGGATGTGCACGTTGCGTTTACAGAATTCTTCGAGCACTAGCAAAAGAAAGGAGTTGACAATAAATTTAAAGAAAGGTCAGTAGTTCTGGCGGAATGGGACGAAAATGGACGCTTTATGTATTGTCATCTTGGGCGAACAAAGTCAGCCCGCACACCGGCGACTTTCGGCACTCAGGCAGAAGGGCCGGGATCCGATTCTTGGTTCGTAACTACCGGATAGCATGCATGTTTACCAGGAATCATGGATTGTTGGTTTGGGTGATGCCGTGCTTCGGCATTCATCCGTTCTATCTACTAGGAGCCAACGTAACAAGATCTCGCCCCATCCATATCCAAGGCATCTATTAAGATCTAATAGCTACATTCGGGAACCCCGCCCCCCCAAGGGATCCCTTTAGGCTTCACTCAGGGAGAGAAGAAGACATCGGAGAAGTCATTGGGCCGATCCAGATACCATGTCGGGTTACTGCACTTCTCTCTCACGGAGAATCCATTGCCCAGAAACGCGAAACGGTTACTGGAGAAATAAACATATTCGTAGTCCTCAGGCCGGAAGATCTCCATCATGTGAAACCAGTGAATTCTGCTTCCCGGGTGAAGCGCTGTGATGGGCCCTTCTGCTGTCCCGTTTTTGTACCACGACCGACACGGGCCTGCCCAGACCGTCCTGGGAAGAAACACTCGACAATGTTGAGTAAAGTCCCGGACCGCGTCCGTCCGGACGCAAACGGACTTGATTCCCTCAATTTGCGCCTTCTTCATCATCCGGACAACGTAACGAGAAACTTGCTCGGCGATGGTGAGGACGCTCCCATGCCCGATTGGAGCGTTTGGTCCCATGAATACTGTGTTGATCGGTGCCCAGTCAGTCAGTCTGACAAGCGCGGAGGGTCTCGCATACAACAGGGGAAAAAAAAATTAATAATGGACAGTGGTCTCACAAAGAAACCTCTGAGGGGGACGACGTACCAAAATAATTAGGCATCTCAGCCACAGCGCATGACATGTATGCTCCGGGGAGGCTTTTTGTCCACATGTCCTGAAGGTTCAGACCGTTCCTGCCGATGATTGGGAAACGTGGGCAGAATGAGACATCGAAGCCGGTGGCACAGACGATGGCATCGAGCTCAATCACCTCGCCGGACTGAAGCTCGATCCCATTCGGAAGAACGCGAGCGATTTGCTGCGTGACGACCCGGACATTATCCTCCGTCAGGGCCTCGAGATAGCCGGGCCCAGGGGTCAGCCTGCGACAGCCGGCGGGGAACGTGGTGGGAATGATGGCCTTGATTAGTTCCGGATCATTCTTGAGCGTCTTCGTCATGTGTGCAATTAGGTTCTTTTGCAAGACATCGGCTAGGCCGTCATTGTTCACCATCTAAGAGGGCTCTTGGTCAGCTACGACTTGCAAACGCCGGCCATTGACCCTCCCCGGCCCCGCAAATGTACAGTTCGCGTACGCACCGTGGCAAACCGTGCATTGACTTGCTCTTCCGTGGCTTTGATGAATGCTCTGTAATATTCCGCATCGTTTTCGAATCTGGCGATTTGCTCGGGACGGAACTTGTCCCCATCCATCAGAGCGGACTGAAGGATCTCGGCACTGGCGCCTTTTAGCATTCTCTCAGTCTGCGGTGGAGCGATCCAGGTGGGGGAACGAATCAAGTGCACAAGCTCTTTGACGTCTGCATTGGGGGACGGTGTCAGTTGACCGGCCAGCAACCTTGCAAGGTGGCTTTTGGAGACACTCACGCGGTTGAATCGACGGAACAATTTGCACTCCCGAAGAGCCATTTCCAATGACGGCAACCTTTTTGTTGCGATAGTCGAAAGATTCGGGCCACGCTGCGCTGTGAACCAGGTCGCCTTGGAAGTCAAATAGGCCGGGAAGATTGGGCCATTTCCAGTTGCTGTGCGTCTGTCAGCGGCCTGTGTCCTGCCCGGAAGGGGGTAAGGGGGTTCCAACTTCAGGATCCCGGTTGCGTTGAGGAGGAAATGGCATCGATCATCGACAATCTCACGAGAGACGAGGTTTTCAATCTTCAACTCCCATTCTCCAAGGTCTTCGCACCACTTTGCGTTGATGATCTTGTGCGACAATTTGATCTCCGGGCGCATATCTTCGTCGTCACAGCAGCGGATCGCGTAATCCTTGATTTCCTCGGCGTTGGCCGAGAACTGGGTCCAACGAGGGTTGGGTTTCCAGGTAAATTGGTAGTTGTGCGAAGGGTGATCACACTGACAACCTAAAAGACAAAATCCGACCAGATTAGCCCGTTGCTGTATAGGAGCGGTATCAATGGAGGGGTCTCCAAGTGACCTTGCTCGCTGGCAAAGGGAAAGAAAGTATGCCTACCTGGATAACGGTTCTCATACCAAGTTCCTCCAACCTCGGGGTTCTTCTCATACACCACATGTTCATAGTCCGTCATTGTTTTCCGCAGAGTCCGGATCATGTTGATCCCACTGATGCCCGCACCGATGGTGATGATCCTGAGTCTCCGGGTAGTTCCCAGGGGCTGTTCAAGGATGCGGTATTCTTCACCATGGTCAGTCCCATTGAGGGTGGGCGTTTCTGCAAGAGCGGACGGTGCCATGTTGTCACGAGTGCGATGTATCATCGACTGGTAGCCAGCTGCAATTTCCTCGGGGAGAGAAAATGCGGAAAGATTATATCTACTTTGGGAGAATAAGGCATGGCTTTCACCATGGTAGTGAGATATCCTGATGTCCATCCACCTGCCCTGGCACCCGCCGTCTCCTCACCTCACCTGACGAGGCGTCGGCAAAGCCAGTCTTCGGCAAATTTGGCTCGGCAAGCAGCTGAGTTACCGAAGACCAAGGAAGCCCTACCATGAGGAACGAACCCAGCGCGGTACAGGTGATTTGCCACACTTGGTCACTCCAGCCGTGATTCCATCAAACCGAGGTTGAGCGTGCACAGCCCAAAGATCGCATGAATAAAATCTGTGTGAGGCACTCTGCAGGCGCTGTTTCTATTGGACAGCACATGGTTTGAGTAGTGCAACCCGGCATCCAATGATGGGAAACGAAACTTGGGTCTGCTGGTTGCCAATGGTGTATTGACTACATCTGAGAACTGTATGGCTCGACAGGTCTCTCGAAATCTGTCCAGAGCGGGTCCAGCTGGACGTCGCAAAGATCGAAATTGAACATCATATCCGACTCGGCCTCCAAGAGTTGCATTGGAGGGGTTGCGACGGGATTGTGCGGCTGGGCAGAGTTCACGCACAGAAGATCCATGCTGGGACACAACGACGCGGGAAACGGGAATAACCTGAGCTTGTCGACACGGTGGCAGAGACCAGCGCAAAACATATTGTCTCCGAAAGCTGGACGGCCCGCGGATGCATCTCCTGGGAGGTGCGACTGCACAACGCCACCGTTGCCACCATCTCCCAGTACTGACCGCTGCACACGATCAACATTGGCGAGGATCAGGGCGCTGCTCGGATTGTTCGCCCTCATGTCCTGGAGAGCGAGCCGAACTTTGGCAAGGTCCTCCCTGTGCCTTGCGTTGGTGTCAGGGAACTTGACGAGGGCGTGAACCAGAGGGACGCTCGCCACCATGCAGTACCAGTTGTTGATTGGCAGAAGCGAAATTATATCCCCTCGATAGTAAATCTCCTCAAACAATGTAGCGATGGCTGAAGCTGCAACGACCGACGCCCTAAGGGATTCCAGACAGTTCTCTACCAGACGGTAGAAGAGGATGACCCCGGTGAAGTACATAATGTGAAGCTGATAGACAAACGGCCGATAAGCTCTCCGCTCCATTGGGTCGTAGAGGCGGAGATCTGGGCGAAGACTCTCAATCCAGTCTCTGAGAGATTCTCCGATATGGATGATCTGTTCCATAACCGGCCTCTGCTGTCGTCCATACTGCGCTTCTGAAACACTTCCCAGGATCTTGCAGAGTTTGGTCCTCTGAAGAAATAGTTCGTTATCTGGGTCAGCTTCCGCAAAGTCGTGGAGCGTCGGCAAGTTGACATCGACCTCTTGCATTCGAAGCGAAGACGGCCTTCCGTAACACAACGACTGTAGTGTGTCTTGATTCTGTCCCAAATGTCAGTGTTGAGCCTTTCGGAGACGACGTGGGTGATGCAAGCCTACAGCCAGATGCCACCAGATCCGTCGACACATGCCGGGTTCGGGTAGGCTTTTGTACGTGGCTTCTCTGTGCAAGCCCATGTTCAACGCATACCGTATTGCAACGCCCCCCCAGTGCCAGGGCGAATTCAGGCTCAACTTGGTTGGTGTCTCCGGGCTTCTGCAGGCCAGGAGGCAGACTGACTTCAACACGGTCAAATATCGATCGGCCTCATAGTCCATCGCAAGTAGGGTTTTGACCTTCCAGTAAAACTGATCCGCCGGGGGGGCGGATTTGGGCGCACGTCGGAAATGACTTCCAACCAGGCACAGGCACTGCTGGAGTAGAACTGATTGAGGTTCACTTGTGAGATCACGGCGATCCACTAACGGCAGGAAGGGGAACAGATGCGAAAAGTAAACTTCCGAAAGGGCATTCATGAGCGGAGTCGGCGGGAGCACTGTAGCTTGAGTGACTCGCAACACCGTTTCAGAGATCACGGCGGCCTCGGCGGGCCAAGAGTCCGGAGGTTCAGACACGCAAGTATTTGACAACAGTGAATGCTCCCCAAGATAACCCAAAGGCCGGGTTCCGGTCACGGGTCGGGATCTATCTTCTGCGTCTGCTGCGTCTGCTGTGCCTTGCACGCCGGGATCATGGAGTCGCTCAGCGTCCCCTCCCGACAGACTGTAGTTCTCCGTGTGATGGTGGGAAAGGGCAGGGCTCGTGAATGGGGTCGCCACAGGCGCCACCTGCGTTGAGAGCTTTCGTGATCGTTCGCGCCGTCTTTAGACTCAGGACGTTAGCCAGGGAACACGGCAAAGACGGCAGATGCGCACTTGCACAGCAGATTCCCCTTTCGGCAGTTGCTGCACTGACTGTCTGAACAAAGTTGAAGATCACATTTCACCTGCCAGAGAGGACGGGTTAGCACCAATATTCCCGCCAAAACAAACAGAGCACGCCCCAGGATTACCTTCCGTGCATGGCACTGGACGCAAACAACGCCTGCACGCCGACGAGTCATTCGGACAGTGTCTTCTGGAGGCATCGTTGGTGTGGAAGGAGGAGACATCCGGCAAGGGAAGCAAGGAAGCCAGGAAGCGAGATTTTCGAACCGTCGGTTCTCTTGAGTGCGGCTGCGGCAGGCAGCTCGGTTATATACAAAGTGTGGAGGACACCAAGGGTGGGGTCCTCGGCTAGGGAGCCTTGCCAAGGTGCGGGAGCTGACCCTGGCGCTCTGGAGTATTTGCCTATTTCGGGGAGGGACCCGGTTGGCCCCCGTTATCCAGAGATCTGGGACACCAGGCCAAGGTCTTGTGTGCACCGGCAGTCGGCAAATCCGCTATAGTATTTCGCTATTTGAGACCAAGCGCGCAGTCCCCGGACTCTGGACTCTCGAATCTAGAGGGATGTTCGCACAAGACAGACAACTTGACCACCCTTCTTGATTCCTTAGCCTCCCGACATCATCAAGGGGCCCCGATTCATTTCCAACACCATGTCGCACCCCAGCCCGCACTTTCCAGTGCCTGCCGGCACAAACACCGTGCAGGTCCGCATCGTTGACTCGACGACCAGGATCCGCAATTTGCCCATCGAATTTCTGATGAAGCCGCCCATGGATGGCATGCAATACATGCCCACGTTGCCTTCGTGGTCCTTTCTGATTGAGCACTGCTCCGGGAAGAAGTTGCTGTTTGATCTCGGGGTTCCAAAGGATTGGCGCGTTCTTTCTCCCAGGGTCGTAGAGCCTCTGGCTGCTCGCGGGTGGGACATCCAGGTCGATAAGGAAGTCATCGATGTTCTTGAAGAAGGCCAAGTGGCGTCAAGCCAGATAAATGGCATCATTTGGAGGTGAGCCTCAAACACAGCTTCGCTCCCGCACCCCGGGTGTCAGGGTAGAATGTAAAGTGACACAGACTCTTAGTCACTGGCACTGGGATCACCTGGGAGACCCCTCGAGGTTTCCACCATCCACTGACTTGATCGTCGGCCCTGGGTTCAAGGAGGCATTCCTGCCAGGTTTTCCCGCAAAGGCGGACTCCCCAGTCAGAGAAAGCGACTTCCGGTGAGTGCACGCCTCTGGCTCGAACCGGAGTTAGACTACTAACATCGAGGTGGTGTCAAAGCGGCCGCAACGTGGTTGAGATAGCTTTCGACAAGTCGCCTGCCGTCAGCCAGGTAGGACCTTTCCAAGCATTCGACTATTTTGGAGACGGATCCTTCTTTCTGGTCGATACTCCTGGACATGCGATAGGGCATTTGAGTGGGCTCGCGAGAACAACGGCCAACCCGGACACATTTATCTTTATGGGCGGGGATCTTTGCCATCACAGCGGTGAGATGAGGCCTTCGAAATACTTGCACATCCCGTCCGAGATTGCACTCCCGTCGTTCACGCGCGGCACTTGTCCCGGTGCGGCGTTCGAAAAGTTGCTGGTTGAACGAACCGGGTCGCGAGAGAAGCCCTTCTTCGAGCCTGGATTTGGTTTAGACCTCGAAGAGGCCACAAGAACCATCGTCAAGGCTCAGGACGCGGATGCAAGCGAGAATATCTGGTTTATTTATGCGCATGACCCTAGCCTGATTGGTACCGTGGATCTGTTCCCCTTGTCTGCAAACCAGTGGAAGGAACACGGCTGGCGACGGAAGACCTTGTGGTGCTTCCTTGAAGATTTTCGAGATGCTGCCGATGTATTTCGTCGAGCGTAGGAATTGCATCTCGAGCGACCTCCCGTCTAGGTAGAAGAAACATCTCTTAAGCTACCTTGTGTCATGGGGTGGTTCTATTCCCTTCCTTCTTTGTGCACGTACTCTAAACGAGAGTCTTCCATCGCTCCCACGCTTCTGCGACGCCCATAAGCTTTCGTGACAGCAAGTTTCAGAGCACTCCAGGTTGCTTCGATAACGGAGGCCTGAGGCTGAGATGGAAATGTAGTTGTCATCAATCTCGCTCGATGCGGATACGAGTATGGTTTGTCTAATGTCGGCAGGCCTGGACGCGCTTCTTCCGGCGCTCAGATAGGTGTGGAGACTATATAGCCATCATAAAGCCGGTCCCCGTACTCTGGACTCGGTAGAAACGGCCCCTGGCCTTTGGGAAGAGCCGAGCAACAGCCGGTCTGCAGTATTTTCCAGGCGGCGACCACGCCAAGCGCCGCCGGTCGACTCCTCCACGTTTCCCCAGATATACTGCGGGACGGCAATTTCTTTACTGGGCTCGGTTGGTCCAACTGATATACGGCCATGTGTCGGGGTATATACTAAAGCACGACCTCCCCGCAAGATCCCCGTCCTTTCTCACAAAATCGGCGCGTCTTCAGTTGCTTTGGCCATTGCGTCTTTCCTCCACCACCTGCCAGATCGATCTCGTATATCTCTCTTCTCGACGAGACTCAGAACCGACCATGGGGTCAACAGAGCAACAGAAGTCTAAGGACGCCGTGGAACACTTCGACAACGAACCTGGGCACGACAAGGAGGAGAAGGGGTTCAAGTCGCATGATGCCGCCACCTTCTCCCCAGCAGAGGAGAAGAGACTCCTGCGCCGAATCGACTTGCGCGTGACGTGCGTGCTTGGATCGTTATACCTCATCGCTCAGATTGACAGAAACAATCTCGGGAACGCGAACATTGCCGGCATGTCCGTTGATCTGGACCTCACCGGCAGCAGGTATTCCATCGTCGTTTTGTTCATGTTCATCACCTATGTCTGCTTCCAACCCGTCGCCGTGGTGGTGATCCGCAAGGTCGGAGCACGAGTATTCTTCACGACAATTGTATTCTTCTGGGCGGCCACCGAAATCTCTCTCGGCTTGGTCAAGGATTGGTACGACATGATCCCCCTCCGTCTCATATTGGGCGCCTTCGAAGCGGGCATGTTTCCCTGCGCTGCGTACATGCTTTCGAGTTGGTATACCCGGTTCGAATTGCAGCAACGAATGGCACTGTTCTACCTTATCGGCACCGTCGCCTCAGCCTTTACGGGAATCCTGGCTTATGGTGTGTCCCAAATGGGCGGCCTGGGAAGTGGCCCGGAGTGGTGGGGCCACCGCTACGGCCCTACGAAAGAGAACCCAGACGCCCCGAGCGGCTTTGAGTCGGGCATCGCTGGTTGGCGATGGATCTTCATCATGTTCGGTATCTTTACGCTGGTGGTCGGCATCGTCTGCTTCTTTCTAATCGTGGAATTTCCCGAGAAAGAGCTTGAGCCCAAGAGATGGAAGGTCCCCTTCCTCTCCGAACGAGAGACCGAGCACGCCATATCGAGAATCCAAGACGATAGAGCTGACACAGAAGCTGAGGATTTCACGGTGCGCAAGTACCTTCGAGGCGCCGCTGACCTCAAGGTCTGGGGACACGCGGCCGTTTTCGGCCTGACTACCGTCACTAACTATGCCGTCGTCTATTTCTTGCCCATCATCCTGCGCGAGGGCCTGGGCTTCGGGATTGCTGCGTCTCAATGCTTGACGGCTCCCCCTTATGTCCTCGGCTGCATCTGGATGCTGAGCCTTGGGTGGCTCTCTGACAAGGTCCGCCTGCGTTCACCCTTTATTGTATTCAATTGCTGCAGTTCCATTCTCGGTGAGTTTTCTTCTGCCAACGCCCCCAGCGATTGCATCACCGAACTTGTGCTGACCTCCGTATCCAGGACTCGGTCTCCTCGGCTACACACACGCGGTGGCAAGTCGCTTAGTGGGTGCCTTCCTCGTCACAGCGGCTGGATCAGCAAATATTCCTGCAGCGCTTGCCTGGCAAGCCAACAACGTCCGGGGACAGTGGAAGCGTGCCCTAACCTCGGCCATGGCCGTTGGGGCCGGGGGCATCGGCGGCATCGTTGGCGGGACTGTCTTCCGAACAGAGGACGCCCCGACTTACCACCCAGGGATCATCGCAACCCTCGTCGCTAATTCCCTTATGATACTGGTATGCGCCCTGCTTAACATCAAGTTCTATCGGGCAAATAGGAGAGTAGAAGCTGGCGGAAAGCCGATCGAAGGGTTGGCATCATTCAGATACACTTATTAATCAGACGGACCAAACCGGGAGACAAGCTTCTCCTTCAGGAGATAGCAATTAGTCTTTGAGGATGACGATCCGGACAGAGGGCGGTAGATAGCATCCGATGTCATGAGTTGTCTGTGCGCGAAATGTAGCATCTTTGCCGGCCCCCAGGGGGTTGGGGGGGGGGGGGGGGGATTTTTGGCTCCGACCTGGCGCCAAGTATTGCTCCTTCAGTACATGGGCAAGAAAGACAGCAATTGAGCAGAGACGACCTAGAAAGAGAGCCCCAGAGAACATGTCTCGCTTGCCCTTTTGCGGGTGTGGAACCGGCTCGTGGAGGGCTGGTCAAGCTGTGCAAGCATTCGCGAACACCGGAGCGTAGTGCCCAATTCAATCAGTTTGAAGCCCTACACCACTCCCACTCCCTCCTGGCTCCAGGGCTCGAATTAAGCCTGCCCGCGGGGCCGCGTGATGGGTCGGGATTCATCGTCCGTAACCGCAGGGGTCCGCTATAGAGGCCTCGTACCGCCAGCCGAGTGCCGTGTCTCAGATTCTCTCGCTCGCTTCCTCCATCGACCTCCCAATTTCAGTCTCTTCCCCAGACGTCCAGGTCGGGACGCGAGATGCCCTGGTGCCCTCTTTGCATCGACTTGACTTCCCAACGCCGTGTCGCTGGTAAATGCCACGCAATATGCAAACCGGCCAGAGAGCGCGCTCGCGAGCGCCGCGAGCATGCCAGCGCTGCAACCAGCGCAAGGTAAAGTGCGACGTAATCGAGACAGGACTCCCGTGCAGCCGCTGCCGCCTCGACACCGCCCCGGAGTGTGTGATTATGCCCTCTCGACGAGGCACATATGAGAGAAGAAAGGTGCGCGACCAGGCGACACTTTTACGGCCAGCATCGTCCTCCCCAGGCCTGGCTGCCATCCAGCCCCGGGCGGCAACCCCAGTGCCGGCGGATAGTCAAACGGAAATGCAACGCTCAAGTTCTGGCGATGGACAAGCACAAACCCCGAATATCTCGCGCCCAACGTCGGAGAAGACAAAGAGTCATGCGGCTCAATGGGAATCCACCCAGGTGGCTGGCCGTACTGACGCTCCCGGCTCCAACATGAGCGTGCCGAATGCTGACCAGAGTTCTCTTGCATCCATGTTTGAAGCCTTTCTCAACAAGCAGAATTCGTCTCCGGACAGTACAGTTTCAAAGCTGGGAATTGTCTTCTTCAATGAAAATTCGCCTCTGACCTTCGCTCTGTCCGAACTTCAGGGGTCACAGCGACCAACTACATATAACGCGGGCTCCCATCTCCATGAGGATCCTGTGATTCAGCGCAGCGATCGCCATCCACCTCACATGTCGCATCAGGAGACGGGCTTCCTCAAGTCGAGAGGCGCATTTGACACGCCCAGGCCTGAGGTGTCGGACATGCTTCTCGCCGCATTTCTCGACCGCTTCATCCCTCTCTATTCCATTGTGGACAAGTCGAGCTTTGTGAAATCTTACCGGCAGCAAAGTCTGCCTTGGATCCTCTTTCATGCAATGTGCTTCATAGGGGCCACATTCTGCGACACCAGTAGTCTACACAGGGCTGCATTTGAGAACAGAGTGGATGCTCGCCGATCCTTTTATAACAAGGCCAAGATGCTTTTCGACTTGGGCTACGAGACTAATAAAGTCGTGCTCCTTCAAGCAGTCCTTATGCTCTCATTTTGGGGGCCCCAGATGAAGAGCTATTGGAACCCGTGTTCGTGGATAGGCTTTGGAGTTACGATCGCCGAGTCGCTTGGTATACATCGGAGTGACTCCTCAACGAGTATGGTGCCCCAGGCTAAAGGCTTGCTCCGAAGATTGTGGTGGACGTTGGCGGTGCGAGATGCTTACTGCGCTGCGCTGCTGGGTCGACCTTTCCGGATCAACATGTCTCAGTGTAACACTGACATGCTCAACATGGCCGACTTCGACCACGAGTCCGACTTCTTGGCCACGGGAACGGAGAGCCTCATCCATTGCAAGTATCAGATACAGCTAGCAAAATTGTCGCTTGTCCTGCGCAAGATCATCGAGCTACGCTTCGGTCCCAGCGAAAACTTGACCACGCTGCAAGATCTGCAGGACATGTGCAACGAGTGGAAAGCAAGACTCCCTCCGGAAGTCGACTGGGAGTTTCCCATCACCGACTCGAACAGAATCTTTGCAACAAGCCTACGCATCATTTTCCATCACCACGTCATCTTCATTTACTTCAACATGCCGAGCGTCCCGGAGGGCCGAGAAAGCCTAGAAGCCGACGTCGACAGCGCGTTTTCCAGTCTTCCGCAATCGTCGGCGGAGGTTATCTCGTCCACAGCCGTCACACTGATGACGAACTCGATGCTCGGCCTCGTTCCACATGAGATTTTCCCGGGCTTCTTTATTGCGAGCATCGTCTTTTATAGAAGGGTGCGGAAATCGAACCATGTCCACGCTCAAATGGGCCGTGCTGCCTTGGACAACTGCACAATGGTGATGAATGCGGTCAGGGAACGCTGGGATCCAGCCTTCTGGGCGATCAAAATCTTTAACTTCCTCGTGACCGAGGCCGCCAACTCGACGACAGCTTCGTTGACGACCGCATGGAGTTCCCAAAATCTGCAATCTGGAGGTTGCGGTGCAGAGAACCCAAATAGTGAGGTCTTGCAGGACACAACAGAAACCCAAGCCAGCGGCTACGACACCCAAAAAGACATCCTCCATTCAATTGACTTTGGGCTGTCGCGGTTCGAAGTGTTGAACGAGTTTTTGTTGATGCCTAGCTATTTCGGGGCCACTCCAAACGCCTGGTGAAAGCGACCACGACGACACATCTCCCAGTATGTTGTCCAAACCCAAACCGACAGTTGATGATCTCAGTAACCCGCAGCAAATGAGGAAAAGCAGTTTGCGGCAGTTGGCTGACGGCTAACAGTGGCGACGGCTACGGCTCAATTACCGAGCAGACAACCAACTCCTCCAGCACGCAAGCTTTTGTCGTGGAGCTGCAACCGATCGCAGGCCGAACACTCGGCAACGACTCTCAGGCTTGCGGCTATTTCGTCTCAAGCCCCTGCTCAGTGCGGTCTCCATGAAATTGGGGACCAACAGATATTGACCGTGTTGCCAAAACTGGCTGGAGCGACTATCAACCCCCGGACATGAGAAGGTCCTTATTGATTGGATGCATTGGTTTTGATTGAGACCGTGACGGTTGCCTTGTCGTAGATTTCGACCAACTATGACTATCTTCCACAGCCCGTTTCCGCTGCTCAATCTGCCCGAAGCAGACATTTTCTCTTTTCTCTTCGAAAAAAACGATAGGCCGTTTCCGAACGAACATGGTGAGTTTGCGACCCTTTACAAACCGCAGGGGAAGCAATGGCCACTGATTTTCCATACTGCAGTCATCTTCCAGGATGCCGAAAACGAGAGACAATATTCCTACTCCCAAGTCAAGCAAGCGGCCCTGTCTTTCGGCCACGGGTTAAAGGACCGCTTCGAGTGGCAGAAAGGCGACGTCCTCGTTCTCTTTGCCGCCAACAACGTCGACACTCCAGGGCTTATCCTGGGGACGCTTTGGACTGGTGGAGTGATTTCGCCCGCGAACCCAGGCTACACTGTCCGTGAGCTGGTGTACCAACTCCAAGACAGCGGAGCTCGAGCCGTGGCGACCCAGTTCTATTTGCTGGAGACGGTGAAAGAGGCATGCCGGCAGGTTGGAATATTGGAAGACTCTATCTTGCTCGTGGACGAACAGAAGGACCCTTCCGGACGCATCAAACACTACACTGAAATACAAAGTACAAGCCGTGCGACTCGATACCAGAAAGCCTACATCGAGCCTAAAGCCGATCTTGCGTTTCTGGTCTACTCTTCTGGCACGACAGGAAAGCCCAAGGGCGTGAGGCTCTCGCACTATAACCTCACCTCAAATGTCAGTCAGCTTCAACCAGGAGAGCAGTACAACCTCAGCTGGGACGGCTCAAGAACCAGTAGCGACATCCCACTACCAAGACCCGGGGCAGGAGGAGATAAAATTCTTGCCTGTCTTCCGTTCTTCCACATTTACGGCCTTACCACCACGGTTCTCAACCCTCTGTACACCGGCACCACCACAATAGTTCTTGCGCGGTTCGAGATCGAAAAGTGGTGCAAACTGGTCCAGCACCATTCGATCACCTTCTCCTACATTGTCCCTCCGATTGTCCTCCTGTTGTGTAAACACCCGGCCGTTCCCTCCTACGATCTCTCCAGCATCCGCATGACCAACTCGGGAGCTGCTCCTTTGTCGAGAGAAATGGTCGAGACATGCTTTCAACGAACGGGAATCCGGGTCAAGCAAGGATATGGTCTGTCTGAGACCAGCCCCACCGCCTTCAATCAGCCATGGGACGACTGGAACGTGAGCGTTGGAAGCGTGGGCAAGGTCCTTTCCAATATGGAAGCCAAAATCTGTACTCCCGCCGACGAGAATGACCCGACAGATCGCTCCCATCGAGAGCTACCGGCGCTCCCACAAGGTACGGTGGGCGAGCTTCATGTCCGTGGACCGAATGTCTTCCTGGGCTACCACAACAACCCAGCGGCAACGGCCGAGTGCCTCTCGCCCACCGGTTGGTTCCGTACAGGCGACGTCGGATACATGGACGCTCAGGGCAATCTCTTCCTCACAGACCGTGTTAAGGAGCTCATCAAATACAAGGGGTTCCAAGTTGCTCCTGCTGAGCTCGAAGGCTATCTCCTGGAGCATCCTCTGGTGGCTGACTGCGCTGTTGTTGGGGTTCAAAGTGCGCAGCTGGGAACCGAAGTGCCCAGAGCTTATATCGTGCCGGCAGGCGGTGCTGCTGGCGACAATGGATCGTCGTCCGACCTTGATCGAGCGAAGCTAATCATTGCCTGGTTCAACAACAGGGTGGCCAACCACAAAAAGTTGAGAGGCGGAGTCAAGTTCGTCCAGCAGATCCCGAAGACCGCCAGTGGCAAGATTCTGCGCAGGATCCTCAAAGAGCAAGCAAGAGCTGAAGCAAGCAGCGAGGTCGATGCGAGGGTGGCGCCGATCGGTCCTAGGTTGTGACAAAACACAAACAAGAGCACACCGCAGTTAGCAAAGTGTATATTGGATTGTCAGGATGCTTCTGGCATTGCTACGAGGATGTCCCACTCTTCGAAAATTAACACCCTCGTCTAGCAAATTCAGTGCTTCTCTTGTTTTCTCTCTCTCTTTCTCCATCCCGTCGGCCCTCTGTCCATGACTGTCTCGGGCGGGTCGGAATTTTGCTGACAACTGGGCTAAGCGTAGAGAGCGTGTCCTGCCTCCGGTGCTGTCTGGCAACCAGACCTGATTCTGGTATCGTTACCGCTACATCTATGCCTCCTACCGAATAATCCGAGGGCATTGACCGCCCACCAGTTCTCCAAGCCCAGTGGATCCACGTTTCCCAGCGGCTTAATTGTCTGTGCCCACTTCCATATAACCGCGGGTGCCAAAGTCTGCACTGACTTGAGGACGGTAATTCTCGGCAGCTGGTCCGACAGGCCAACGTCCAAGAGCGCGCGCTGATGGTGACCAGTTGCCCCCCCCCCCCCCCCCTCGGCTGACCTGGCTGTCTTCTCCAACATGGGCAGCATTGGCGGGCGAGTAACATAGAATCTGTGGGTGTTTAGAACATGAGACCTGGGGAATCTGCATCCCAGACCGGCTTTGTAGCCACTGTCCCCAGGATATCTCTCTACTACTGCTCCCGAGATGGCTTCGGTATCAGCTGGAGCAGTGGGCATGTTTGAAGAAGGCTTTCGAATAGATTCTACCGGGTGCTGCTACATGTTGTGTCTGAGGACGAGGTGCATCGGAAGCCGGCTGTCAGGAAGAGGTCTACGGTCCCTTGGGGATCACCCAAAAAGACTAAGAATCCTGTCATTCTATGACAGAAACCTGGACCTCTCAGCATATCTACTTTTTAGGACCTGCAATTCGCAACAATTGAATGTCAGGGATGGCGGGAGCTGGTCCGTAGGCTTGTCTGAAGGGTTCCTATCTATCTATCTATATAGGCAGTATCGACATCGACTCGAAGCGTGAAGGAACTCAAGAGCTCCGTACGCTTCTTGTACGCTATCTATCTGCGGGCTCCGTGACATCGGCCCAGCGTCAGTAGTGAAAGAAAGGCGTCTCTGGCTCTTCGAGACCAACACAAGCATCGGGCCGACCTCAGAGAAACCACTCGGGCGTTTAGTGTCTTTACTCTCTATGCTTGAGATCTAGGCCAACCCACCAAGAGTGACACTCTTGATGACCTGGTACTCAGCTAAGCCGTACTTGCTCCCTTCTTTCCCGTAGCCTGACTCTTTGACACCTCCAAAAGGCGACCCGGCTTCTGAGATCTTGCCGGTATTTACACCAACCATGCCAACTTGCAGAGCTTCCGCAACCCGCCAGATGCGGCGGTGGTCATGGGAGAAGAAGTAGCTGGCCAATCCGAATTCGGTGTTATTTGCCAGTCTCACCACGTCTTCCTCCCGGTCAAAGACCACCACAGAGGCTATGGGGCCAAATATCTCTTCTCGAGCGATCATCATCTCGTCAGTGATGCCGGTCAGCGGGTTGGTTCCACAAAATTGCCCGCGGCCAAAAGGCCTTTGACGGCGGCGGTCTCGCTCGTTTTATTTCCACCCCTTCGGGCCACCACGGTCGCCCCCTTGAGGACTGCATCATTGATGAGCTCATGCATCTTGTTGACAGCAGCTTTGTTCACCAACGGGCCATTCGTCACGGATGGGTCGAATCCGGACCTCATCTTGAGATCGTGGCAGATTCGGTCGCTCAATCTGGAGATGAACGTGTCCGCCGCCGTCCGTTGCACAAAGACTCGGTTTGCGCAGATGCAGGTCTGGCCCGAGCATCGAAACTTACATCCCATCAAAGCATCGGCAGCATCATCAAGATCTGCATCTTCAAAAACGATGAATGAGGCGTTTCCTCCTAGTTCCATGGAAATTTTCTTCATAGTTTTTGCCGCCTTTTCCGCTATGGCCTTGTTCCATCGTTAGCAGCTTGCTGAGGTCTCGCGAGTGCTTCCGAATAAGGGTCGCCCATTTCCGCAGCATGGCTGCGCGACCGTACTCCTTTGTTCTCGAAAAGGTTTCGAAAGCTTCATGGGCGTGGTCGATTGCTTCTCTGAAGTCGTCCATTTCCATATTTGCCACGTTGGCAATGACCTGGTTCGTAACTGGATCGTAGACCGGGAAGGTGCCATTTCCGCTGATCCATTCACCGCCAATGAATGATCGCTCCTCTATCAAGTCGTGCACTTCGAGAGCATCTTTCAGGCATGTTGGATGCCGCTCGCCGCCATGGAAGGGCTTCTCCATTTGCTCTTCTGGAGGTTGGACCCCTCTCTTGTTGCCAAAGTGACGGTATTCAAAGGAAAACTGCACTCTCAAGTCGGCAGACAGTTTGCACGTCAATTTATCATTTGCGAAAGGTCAACCAGATGAGGGTTGGTCCGCACATTCAAGACTCAGGTATTTCTATTCACTTTACCATTCCTGAGTCGACTACCGAGTTTCCGTCATCACGTCTATCCACCATTCCGGAATGGTCCTGCTGAGGGGAGACGCGCAGCCGACTCGAACAAAGTCGGGAAGTGTCAAGCACTTGCCTCCACCAGCGATGTGAAGTGATGCCGGATGTTGCAGCAGACATGACGGCACTACCACCGAGGTCGGCGCTTCCCACTATACACCATTGTTGTGGAGACAAACCAACGAATGACTGAAGCGATTACTCAGACTATTCGGTAGGGAATGATCGGTAAAACTTTTGTATTTGCCGACCAGTATTGACCTTTCGGTAGCGCGGCAAAGGGGTGCGAATCGAGTAAATTTCCTGTGCTCGGTACTGAGATTCAGGGACTGGAGCAACATCGCGTGTATAGCTTGAGATGGCGTGTTTTCGGCCTTTGTGAGTTCTAGGCCTTGCTGATCGTCTCTGCATAAGGTCTCACCGTACAGCACAAAGAATAGGACGAACCAAAACGCTCTGCCGACTACCTGACGATTCCCTCAGCGACCAAACTCTTTCTTGAAACATGTCAAACAAACCTGACTGGGTAAAGGCTTTGAAGCCGGCCGGTCTCCCTGGAACCGAAATTCTTGCAGCGGAAAGGAAATCGTCGCCCATTGATGTCGATGGACTCGCGGCCTTTTTGTTCACACAGCCAATCTTGGATCGCAATCACAGAATCCTCGAAATACTCCAGGCAGAACCCGTATTCGACAAGTCGTCGAATTACTTTCGGGGCCGCACTGAAAGAATCAAGGCCGCGCTTGCCCGTGGGAAGCGACTACAACAGTTGACGGAGCTTCATGGGTGGTCTGCTGAGGAATATCAAGTGGCATACGACTTGATTGGAGAGCCAACACCCTATGGCCTCCACGCCGGAATGTTTATGGTTACTCTGAGAGAGCAAGGGACCCCCGCACAGCATCGGTTATTCCTTGAAAAGGCTCAAAAGTACGAAATGATCGGGTGTTATGCCCAGACAGAGCTGGGCCACGGGTCGAACGTACGAGGGCTCGAGACTATAGCAACCTGGAACCCGCACAGAAAGACCTTTACGCTCCACTCGCCATCGCTGACATCTTCGAAATGGTGGATCGGCTCTCTGGGCCGGACGGCAAATCATGCAGTTGTCATCGCGCAGTTGATCATCGACGAGGTCTCCTACGGACCTCATCCTTTCGTTGTTCAGATCCGAGATCTGCAAACACACCAACCTCTAGACAACATATACGTTGGTGACATCGGGCCCAAATTCGGGTTCAATACCATGGACAACGGCTTTCTTTTATTAAACAATGTGGAGATTCCGCATGAGAATATGCTGTCGCGTTTCTCCCGAGTTGACGCCCTGACAAACAAGTACATCCGTCCCTCCAATCCCTCACTCGTGTATGGCACTTTGACGTGGGTCCGCTCCAACATTGTCCTCAGATCTGGGGCCGTCCTTGCTCGGGGAGTGACTACGGCCGTCCGGTACTGTGCCGTCCGCAAGCAGTTTCGCAGGCTTGATGCCGCGAGCAATAGCACCAGCGGCACTGCCGAAACGGCGGTCCTCAACTACTCGATGGTGCAATATCGACTGTTGCCGCTGCTGGCAGCAACATTTGCTCTGCACTTCACGGGTCAGAATATGATTCAACTATATCAAGCGAACCAAGCCGCCATGAACGGGCCCGACCGAAGTAAATCAAATGCCGACATCCTTCTCGCCGAGCTCCATGCATCCTCTTGTGCTTTGAAAGCCTACACGTCGACCGTAGCGGGCGAGGGCCTGGAAACGTGTCGCCGGGCATGTGGTGGCCACGGCTATTCTAGTTTCGCAGGCGTCGGCTCCTTGTATGCAGACTATCTACCGACCCTGACGTGGGAAGGTGACAACTTCATGCTGACACAGCAAGTCTCACGATATCTCCTGAAAATCGCTCGCCAAGTGGTGTCCGAGGTCGATGTGAACTCGTCGACCCATGCTGCACCAGGCAATCAGTTCAGTATCCACACGGCCACAATACTCGCCAATTACAGGACGAAACAATCCGACACAAAAGTGGTACCCTTTGATATATTGGGAGACGACACTAGTTGCCTCGTCGATGCCTTTGCGTGGAGGGTTGCCTACCAGACATTCGAAATTCTGAGACGCCATGACGATGAAGGCGCATCGTGGGACAGCCTCCTTGTTTCTTTCTGGCGGCTAAGCACGGCCTATTCGCAGTACTTGGTCGTCCGGAATTTCCACCAAGTGTTAAGCCATCCGACAGCGCAAATTTCGCCACCTCCCCGGTCGGACACGATGGCGGTACTACACAGTCTATTCAGACTGAATGCGCTCTATTGCCTGTCAAACGAATCCTCGGAATTTCTTACAAGCGGTGCCTGTACGGCGAAGGTGCTTGATACGCTTCGCGAAGAGCGATTGCTGCCGCTGTTGTCGGAAGTGCGACCACATGCAGTAAAACTGGTCGACGCTTGGAAGATTTCAGATTGGCAACTCGACAGTAGCCTGGGACGGGCAGATGGGAGAGTGTACGAAGATCTGTTTTATCGGGCCAGCGAGAATAACCCTCTGAACGACATCATATTTGACCCATCTCCAAACAGCACCACTCTCTTCAAGACAAGAAGCTCCCGAGGTCCCTCGAGCAAGCTTTAGAGCAGGGCCCTGCTAGAATCATATCGGAAAGCGCTGTTTCTCGCCATCCTGCGAGCGCTTCCAGGGCGAATTTTTAGGGTAGGCTGAGCCGCAGGGAATACATGGCGGTAAATAAGAGAGTGCCTTTTCTCCTAAGAACATTTTATCCTGACCCAGAGATAGTTTTATTCACACCACGCCGAGAGCTTGAAATTCAATCTATTAAGCCAGCACCCAGATCACACGTAATAACAAATCAAACTTCCTAATGAGGCAGTGCTGGTCTGCGTGCTGTAATTTTACTAGAACCGCCTATTTACTATAATGGCTAAATCTCAAGGACTGCCTGGCGATAGACGGACAGTAGTGAGCCTAGTCTTCGAGTAGCTATCACATCTCGTAGAAATCTAATGGTAGCCAGTATAGCCCTCTATCTTGTGGTGTAATAAAGACATGACGCTCAAGGAGCGCAGGCTCCTTCGCAAGCGAGACGAGGTCTTGTAACGGTGGAAGAAAACGAGATGGGTAAGGATCTAATTCACGTGATACGCAATCACGTGGCACTCAGGAAGTCCCTCGGCCAAGCTAGTGACGTTTAGCGGTCGCCTCCCTTTTGGTGCCTAAACGTGCACGCGTGCCAGGGCTGCCAGGGTGCCGGGCACTGTATCAGTGGCGCAGACTGCGGCATCCCCATCCATGTTCTGTGGAGAAATGACCGCATTCACATCTGCTATACAAAGTCTCAGGACTACTCCCTGCCTTGTCGTCGATGGTGGCAGACTTCTCCTCAACCGTGGACATACTCGATACCATCTCTCGCGATGAAGCCACGAGCATGACGCTGTCCAAGTATCCTCACGATAATCGTCCGAATGTGGGCGGCAGGCCTCCAGATTGACGTCTTCCGACCCCAAGACAAAGGCTCACACCATGCCCCCTTCCTCCGTTGCTTCCATCCCCACGGAGAAGGACAAGGATGCTCAGAAAGACCGGGATAGCCCTTCTGCATCCTCCATTTTCCTTCCCCTCGGAAGAAGAACTCGTCGAGATTCCAAGTCATCCCTGTCCCACGATCTCGACCAAGATGCCCTCAACCACGCGCTCAATACCATCCATACCGCGGCATCCCAGTCAAACCACTTGACGGTCTTTAATGACTACGCCGATCCCCCGACGGCCTCCTCTCAAGCGGAGAACAAGTCTTTGGCGAGCGAAATACAAGGAGGCATATCAGGCTTGTACAACAAATTGAAGGCTACCGTCGGTGGTTCCAAGGAGGGTGAAGAACATCATCAAGATGCGTCCTCTAACCCCTCGGCGGGGGATGATCGAACCAGCTCCAAGATCAGCTCCGGTATCACGTCCAAGGCACCTTCGCCCCGACTGACAGCCTCAGACACGACGCTTTCGATCGATCTGGCCCCGTCGAAAGTCTCTTCGAAGGCCACAAGCATTTCGAAGCCCTCGATACCCTCTACACCCGCTCTCCGTTCACCTACCGGTCCTCCCCAGCCTTCTTCCCACCTTGCTGACCCTTCGGTGACTTCAGTTAATATCCATGCTGTCGGCTCGGCGAACCATTCGAGGGCTGGGTCTGCGTTCGAACTCGATTCTCCTCACGAGCGGAGTCTAACAGCTTCTGCAGATAGCGAAAGTCTGCGCAAAGCTCTTTCCAAGCAAGGGACCGAGACGTCCTTCACCGAGAGGGGGAACAAGCTGATAACATCGCCTCTTCTGAGTGCCAGGGGAGTGGCTGTATCCCACGATCGAGGACTGTCAACTGCCTCCAATCAAAGTCACTATAGTCATGTTGATGGTGTGGCCAGCCCGCCATTGCTGACATCGCCTCAGGCGGAGCGATCGACTGCCCGAATAGTGATGGCGAATAGACAAGATAACCCTTCACAGTTGAGGCACACCAACCCTCTAGACCTTTTGGCTGAAAATGCGGTCAACTCCACTAAAGCCTCAGCCTCCTCTCAAGGCAAGCCTAGTGAAGTTTCTAGCTTGAAGTCACCCCTGCTATCGACGTTGGAGCAAAGACCGTCAGAGAAACTGGCCCCAAAGATAAGCCAGTCAAGATTGCCAGGCTTCTATGCCTCGCGAACAACTTCATCAGATTCATCGGTCACAGCTGGCATGTTGCGTGCAAATCTGGATCCCCGTGATGATGACTCGCGCAGTATCGTCATACACCGCACTCCTCAAGCGAGACCGATCAGCAAGCTGCGTAGCAAGTTGTTGAGTAAAGAGTTCTGGATGCGAGATGAGAATGCAAAAGACTGCTTTCATTGTGGCGAGCAGTTCACTACATTCCGACGGAAGCACCATTGTCGCACGTGCGGCCAGATCTTTGACAACAAGTGCACGGTTCTCATCAATGGGAGTCACTTTGGGTCCAACAGTGCCGTTCGTGTCTGCAAACCGTGCGAGTCCATAATCACTTCCCACGACGACGACTCGTCTGATTATTCGGCTGAAGATCTGGCTTTGACGGAACCGGCCCCTCGTCCACGGACCCCTGAACCCTCTCATTTTGCCCGCGTCCTGCCCCGGTTTGAGGATGACAATGCTTCAGTCACTTCGCAGTCTCTCGAGCAAATGGCCAGGACGCCCACAATGAGCTTTCCAGTACGACGAGCTTTCGATGGGGCCAACCGCAATTCCGCTGTGTTGGAGTTCGATACAACCGATCGACCCCTCCCTCGACCAAGCTCCTCTAGGTCCTTGAAAGCAACTCATTCTATTGGGCATAGCCACAAGAGGCATCACTCCAGACATCAGCACATACGCAATTTCAAGGCTTACCATGAAGATAGAGCACCTTTCCAACGTCGTGCTGCCGACGACGGAATCAAAGTTGGCAAGTCTTCAGCGTTTCATCGCGACAGTATCATTGACCCTGATCTCGCACAATATCTCTCGGATGACCCCTCGAGTGAGGAAGACCAGTCCATCAGTGAAACCTTGAGTCAAGATAAATTGTCCCGTAGCGAACCTGACAGCGACAAAAGCGCGATAGGGGGTCTCTTGGCAGCCGTGCGCAAGGGTCGTTCTCGCCTAGGGGATCGGAGTATCGCTGGATTTCTCAACATAGGAAAAGAAGCCGACGAAGCCAGTGTCATCAGTTCGCGCAATATAGAAGCACTTCGGGGTTCTCGGAAGCGGAACCTCAGTGTTTCAAGTAGTATCCATCGCGGAACACCAAGAACAACGAGAGAGCGACTGCAAATTATCATCCCCGGAAATCAAGACGATCTGCAAGACGGTCTCGGAGACTCAGCAAGTATCTACCGAGGCCGATCAAGGATGATACGAAGTGCATCTATGCATGGGATGGCTGCACCAGCCATGGAGCTCAATCGTGCGAGTATCCAACATGTGCATAAAATGCTTCAGCAGCTTCTCAGGGACGCGAATATACCGAAAGTCCAGAGTTGGCAGGATGCTCTCATTCCCATCTTGCTCAAAGCGACTGATGATGTCGATCCAGATGTCCAGGGCGGAGACGACATAGACATTCGTAACTATGTCAAGTTGAAGAAAATTCCTGGCGGCAAACCTGGTGACACTGCATACATCTCCGGCTTGATCTTCACAAAGAACGTGGCTTTGAAGAGCATGGCTCGATCCCACACGAACCCCAAGATCTTGATCATCACTTTTGCGCTTGAATATGCCAGACACGAACAACATTTCATGAGTCTGGATCCGGTCATTAGACAAGAAAAGGAGTATCTGGCCAATCTTGTTGGTCGTATTGCCGCCCTGAAGCCAGACGTTCTGTTGGCTCAGCGCAACATCTCTGGCCTGGCTCTTGAGCTCCTTGAAAAGGCAAATATCACCACCATTTTCAATGTGAAGTCATCGGTTCTTGAAGCTGTCTCGCGGTGCACTCAAGCTCGTGTCGTACATTCCATGGACAAATTGACGTCCTTGTCAGATCCATTTGGTCGCTGCGATTCTTTTGAGGTGAAGACTTTCGTGGCTGACGGGCGAAGGAAAACGTACGTCTATCTATCTGGTTGCCCGCCTCAGCTTGGGTGCACGATTGCACTCAGAGGCGCTGACCGACCGACCTTGTCTAAGATCAAACGCGTCACTGAATTCATGGTCTACGTGGTCTATAATCTGAAATTAGAGACCTGCCTGATGAGGGATGAATTTGCATTGATACCGAGCGCGCCGACTGCCAATACATCGGAAACTACGGTCAATATCCTCCCGAAGTCTGCAGCAGCTGAGGATACTGCAACTTCGCAAGATGCTAATGGGAACACGGAAAAAGCTGACAGTCATGTCGCTGCGGCCGGGGATGTCTCGAATGCAGAAGTCTTGACTTTGGAAAAGGAAGTCCGTTTTGCTCAAGCTGTCAGGACGGACAGCACCGATTCTGCGCACATACCTGATGACATTCCTGTGCCTACGTTTTATGAAGACCTGGTCCTCAAGCACGAAACCCGTATCCTTTCGGCCTCGCCATTTGTCAAATTCATGCAGCCATATCTTCTTATGCGTGCAAGAGAGTTGGAAAGACGTGTGGCGTATCTTAAGCGGCTCCGAGACCAGGATCTCTCGGCTGAACAGACGATGGAAGACAAGGGAAAGACGTCCAAGTTCACCTTGATTCACCCGGAAATGGTGCACAGGCCTCTGGCTGGGGCCAGCAAGAAAGTTCGCGAGATCATTCATGCAGTACACGACGCTGAGTATGACAAGGCTGTCTACAATTATGAAAGTCAGAAAAAACAGTGGGAGACCTATCTCTCGGGGAACCGCAATCTTTTTGACCCCTTTGCGCACCAGAACATTGTCGTTTTATTCAGTCTCGTTTCCACCGAGACATCTGTTCCTTGCTCTGGCCCGGATCTTCTCGCCTTTAGTTTCTACAACGAACATGAGACCGAAGCCGAGTTCGAGGCGGATTGTACTTTGGGGCAATACGTTGAGGATCTATGTTACAGGGCAAACGACATCTGCCCATCCGACGCCTGTGAAAAGAAAATGCATGAGCATCATCGTCAGTATGTCCATGGCGAAGCACAGATCACAGTCTTTGTACAGCCATATCCTTCCAAGATGCGCGGCTTTCAGGATGTGATTTTGATGTGGAGTCAGTGCAAGATCTGCGGTGTCGAGACCACTGTTACTCCCATGTCTACCAGCACTTGGAAGTATTCGTTTGGAAAATATCTTGAACTGTCGTTCTGGAGTGCCGATCTCCATGCTCGGGCCGGCATCTGTCCACATGACTTGCACAGAGACCATTTCCGATTCTTTGGGTACAAGGATTTTGCTCTTCGGGTTCATTACGATCCAATCGACCTGCTCGAGATTATTGTGCCTAGAATGAGGCTCACTTGGAAAATCGACAACGACTTGAAATTCCGTAATGATTTCTATACACGCTTGGAACATCGCATCACGAAGTTTATGGTGTCTGTCAAACTTCGTTTGAAGAATATCAATGCTGAGGCGGTCTTGCCTGAAACTGCCGAAGCATGTCGCGCAGAGATTGAACGACTGACAAAGAAAGCCAATGAGGAACACGCAGGCCTCATCAAACAGCTTCAGGAACGATATACCAACACGAGATACTGGGAAACAATCCCACTTAACGCTGTTCTGCGGGCCACGCAAGAAAAAGTGTCCGAATGGGATGATGCCTTTGCAGACTTTGAGAGAAATTTCTTCCCTTCCGAAACAGATATTCACCGACTCGCAACTCTCCAACTTAAGAAGATCTTCCTTGACCGTGACGTTTCAGTCGCATCCTTGAAGTCGGATGATGAAGGGGCGACCACGCCTCCAACCGAAGAAGTCACGGATGAAAAAGCGGGGGCTGGAGAGACGCTCACTGAAGGTCGACGGCCCAGCAAACTCTCACCAGAGAAAACACAGAGCTTTCTTCAAAGCGTACTTGAGGAGCATGCCACTACTCCAGCAGACGAGATTGGCGTTTCAGAAGTGCCCGAAATCACCAAATCCGATGTGCAGAGTCTCCCTTCCATTCTAGATGGTCCTCGCAATGTTGAAGATGTTAAGCACCTCGATCTGGCGATAGTGTCGCCAGCCCAACAAGCGATCCTTGGGGCAGAAGATGGTGCCACACAGAATTCGTTGGTTGCTCCCGCTGAACATACGGGCATCGATGAATCACGTGAAAATGTGGCAAGCGGCTTCATCTCGAATAAAGGAGAAGTAGCCATAGAAACGCCAGAGATTATTGTCACCGGTCAGCAGACTCAGCCAATAGATTTACCTCAGCCCGGAATACAGAATGCCTCTCCAACGATGGTGTTACGAAGGCGGATCGATGGGAAATCCTCGCCAGGACTTGCTCGAGCCCACTCGCAACCTGCTGGCTCCGTTGCACTTCGCGCGGCCGCTGCCCAGACGGCTTCAAGTACTTTGTCGGCCGTCAATGCGATCAATGGATTTCCAAAACAGAGCCCGGCATTATCCGCACAGAGCAGTGATGTTGATGTGATCATTCCCGATAAAAAGCTCTCTGAACGACTGGGCTTTTCACATCTGAAGAACAAGACATTTTCGAAAGGCCAGTCGCTCATTCCGCGAGCGGTTACGAACCGTAAAGAGTCCCGAGTCTCCAACCTTGCTAAACACTTCGAGCAACTCAGCCGCGAGTTTGAGAGAGAGCGGATCCGGGAGAGACGACTTCGCGCTGCAAGAAATATGCAGTCGAGAGTGTACCCCTTGGCAGCGTCAAAACCCATTGTCGAGGTATTCAAGGATGTCGACGTGGCTGTGGATGAACGAGGAGATTCCGACGATATTTTTGGCAAGGATGATGAACCTCCTGTGGAGGGGACGGACAAGGCCTCGGGCACAGCCGAGGCCATGGCAAAGGTTGGCTCGCCTCAGGAAGGCGACACTGGACTTCATGTCGAAGAGCCGGCCGGCGACACGGCAGAGAACGAGACTGACGTTCAGCCATCAAGCCATGCTCCTTCAGAAGCCGAGGAACCGAGCGACATTGATGAAGCAGAGGACGAGATCTTCTTACCAGACTCGCCCGAGGATCTAATGCGGATGTCCCAAGATGATATCGATCTCAAGGAGCTTCCCAAACATGAGAGAACCTCCCTGATGAAGATGCTGACCAACTTCTGGGCTGAGCGGTCATCGAGCGGTTGGACCACCCTCGAATATCCCTTGGGAACATCAGAGCACATTTTCGCTGATTGCGACATTATTGTGCGCGAAGATGAGCCCAGCTCCATCATAGCTTTTGCCTTGGACTCGCATGACTACACGACGATGCTCCAGAACATGCAGAATCGCGCCCCAAGCGAGGAGATGGCCCATGATTTTAGTGGTCATGACCATGGTGATGATATGCAGTCCGAAGTCATGCATTCGCTCCTGCGCAAAACAGGAACTCATCTCAAATACCAATTCCAGGAGGGTCCCGCCAAGATGCTCTGTAAGATCTTCTTTGCGGAGCAGTTCGATGCAGTGCGCCGGAAATGCGGTGTTGCTGACCGATTTGTCGAATCGCTCTCGAGATGCCTGAAATGGGATTCCAAGGGTGGCAAGACGAGGTCGCTCTTTTTGAAAACCCTTGATGATCGATTCATCTTGAAGTCACTGTCCCCTATCGAAACACAGTCGTTTCTCAAGTTTGCACCTAACTATTTCCAGATTATGTCGGAGGCCTTCTTCCACGAGTTGCCCTCTGTGATTGCAAAGATGTTTGGCTTCTACCAGATCATCGTCAAAAATTCCGCCACCGGGCTTGAATACAATTGGTTCTTACTGGTGATGGAGAACTTGTTCTACGACCGCGTCCCTACACGCATTTTCGACTTGAAGGGAAGTATGCGGAACCGGAAGATGAACGCCACGGGCGAGAAGGGCGAAGTTTTGCTAGACGAGAATATGGTTGAATTTATCTATGAGTCACCCCTCTTTGCTCGAGAACATAGCAAGAAACTGTTGAGGTCGTCGGTGCACAACGACACCTTATTTTTGGCACGCCAAAACGTGATGGACTATTCGCTCATGGTCGCCATTGACGAGAATCGGAAAGAGCTTGTGGTGGGTATCATTGACTGCATCCGCACGTACACATGGGACAAGAAACTTGAAAGTTGGATCAAGGATCGTGGCCTTGTCCCAGTACGGGGTGGGAACAAGAACAGGCCGACAGTGACATCTCCCCGGGAATACAAGAGGAGGTTTCGAGAGGCAATGAATCGGTATGTTCTTGAGGCACCCGACTGTTGGCATCAGTTCAAGCCGGTGAGGATGGAGCGGAGGCTGTTGGAAGGGAGAGGTGAAAAGGATATTGGTGGACCGGACGGAAGGGATCAGGACGGGGAGAAAGAGAACGAGGTCCAGCTATTCTCTTAGCGAGAATTGGGTTAGAACAAAACAAGTCCCAGGTTTTTGTCAGTGATGATGACGCCTGACATGGGCAAGGCTGGGTCTGGCATATATAAATACAAGGGGGAGCGGGAGTCATGATCAGTATTAGCGACCGGCGCCGGTGTTTGTCTTGGATAGTGCGGCCACGATATGATGATGCTGCCAGTGCATGACACGAGCGAATAGATTGTTTGTCAGACGGTATCAACCTCTTTATATGTGGTCAGCATAAATTTGTGACCAAGGTCGAACATGAGAGAAATAGAGTCTACCCACCAAGTACCTCACTTACTAAGCACATTGAAATATCCTGGCCACCGGTACTGGCCGTTGGTCAAAGGTCATGAATGGGTTCAGGGAAGGTCCTCGATAGGCTGAGGGTAGGTTGGGACTAGAGTATGGATAGATTGGGTATATTTATCTTATGATATGGTCATGGTCAAGGGCACGAGCGACTTCGCCGGTAGCGTTGACCTTATCGTTGTTGTCACTACAGTTGTCAATGTTGTTGATGTCGATGCCACTGTCGATGCAGACGTCGATGTGAACATCATCACGCCCTTTCCAACCTGTCCAACCAGTACTTGGTGTGACGGTCGCGCTGAGGCCATCGCGTAGAGGCACAGCGTCGACCGGACTCTCAAGTCCCCTGACGATAGATAGATCGATCGATCGACCGATCTGCCACGGGCCACGCCATGGCTGTCAAGAACATGCTCCAGACGGGCCATTTGCTGAACGCCTTCACCCGGAAATGGGGTAATGGGATTATCTTGTTACTTCCCCCCGGCTTCGACAAGTTGTCAGTTTCCATATTCTATCTATTATTGTTCTACTATATCCGTGCAACTAACAACACATATATAGGTTGCATAATGGCGGCATTACACGAGTCAATACCATCGCCAAAGCCTTGCACGACACCTTGGACGATGAACCATTAGGAACGATCTGTCAATTACTCGAAACCAAGATCCTCACTCCCGTCCTGCAAGGTACACGTGTCCACCTTGAACTGACTTCGGCACCCGGGGTCCCTTTCCAACAAACGCGTCTCGAGACCGCTAGCGTGATCCGCGGACACAAAAAACCACAGGACAAACCCTACCTGTCTCCCTCTTCTTCTCCTTCTGGTGGTCACCCACTCGCAGCCGCCGCCGGCATGCATGCACGAAGTCCGTTGAGCCACGCCATGGCGTAGTATGTGTCCATGCTGCCCGCCCACGCCCGCCGTCCTCACAGCCCATGTACCCAGTGCCCACCCATGGGGTATATCGTCCATGTCCATGTCGATGCAGCGGGCGTGCGCCCAGACTCTCTTCACGGGCCGGTCATCTAGGAGAGCCAGCCAGGTCGATGTGGTTGCCGCGCCATCGGTCCGCGCCGATCGACGTGTGTACTTGAGGCAGAGCTAGCAGAGGGCGGTGGGAGCGCCGAAACTAGCGCCGGAGCTTGAAGCATGAGGATGCGCCGGTCTGATATGTCAAAGCCGCGTGACGCAGGCGAGGCGTTTGCAGGCGAGGCCCAGCACGATCCGGGACGGCTTGTCGAGGTGCTTCATGATCTTGAGTTGTTAGTTCAGGTGGAAGGGTCAACAGGGTCAGATTGGGCGACTTGCTGGTCCTCGCATTTTGGCGTCTGATTTTGACGCTTGTGGCGATCTCGGCCGCTGGACAGAATCTAAAACACCCATGTCAGCTGAATGAGCCACGCTGGAAAGGTAGGCTGAGATTCAGTACTGAAGTGAGATGGGACATAAAACTTGGCACGGAGACGAATGACTCTGCGCACAGTGGACAGGTCGGGTAGCATTAATGTGGCACGAGGGACTAGCGACATCCCCACGAATAGAGATAGGGACTCTTGCCATCTTAATGTGAAGAGATGTTGTAGACGGTGACAAGGTTCAAGACAACAATGATGACGCTTGACGAGGACCTGTTCGTGGTTGATGAATGCAAAGAGTCAAGGAGCGCAGAGACAAGGAGGACGGCAGTGGGCTCAAATTGCAGAAGTCGGATGGTAACCTTGGATTTTGCAAGCATATTTTTGTTTTTGGTGCCTACAGTGAAGTGAATTGCTCTCAGAGCAGCAGCTCATCTTCCAGACCATGGAAACCCAATCACATTTTTCTGCCGTAGCCTCATCAACAACAACCAAACTCCTATCACCGAGCCGACCATGCCTGTTCCTGTCGCAGCAAGCAGAAGAGTGGTGAGTATTCGGCTCTGCCTTTGTGATTTCTTGATAACGTCGCTGTATCTCATGTTGCTGAAGCTGACCCGTGAGTACTGGGTTGCCCAACCCAAACTTGGGAGGTACTTGTCCAGTCGCTCCTCGATGTACTTGCGCAGCTTGTACACGGGAGAGGTGACGGAGGATCGCATCTCGATGTAGTTTGCCAACGCCAGGTCTGCAATGACATGCGCATCCTCGGTCCGCTCGGCACTATAGTTCATGAGGGCTTCCGCTCTGTCGGGAGTCTCGTCAAGCTTGGAGAACAAGACGCGAACCGATTCCAATCCTGCATTCATTCCCTGGCCATAGAACGGGACCATCGCATTGGCAGCATCACCCAGGACGACGACACTGTCCGCGAAATGATGCGGTGAGCATTTGATGTTGATCAACGGGAGGTGTGGATTGCGCTTGAACTGGGCCACCAGGTCTTCCGGCGGGATATATGTCGTCAGTCCCGGGAAATACTGGTCAAAGGTCGAGATGAGCTCCGCATCCGTCCCATTCTCAAGCTTGGTGAACAGTTCGACAGGACCAAACAGCGTGCACACAAAGGTATGGTCGAGGTTGGGAAGGGCGATGAACATAAACCGGCCCGCAGGCCAAATATGCAGGTAAGTGGGAGGCATGGCGAAGCCTCCTTCCTTGGTGGGGGGCATAGTGAACTCACACCACAAGCAGTCAATGTATGTTTGATGATAGTCCATGCGGGCAAACTTCATCATATGATGTCGAGTGGCTGAATGAGCGCCATCAGCACCGATGCATATGTCAAAAGACACCTCGATCTCCTGGGCACGGGTCGACAATGTGGTCCCCTTCTTGTCCGTCACTTCGAACCAAGCTTTCTTCTTTCGGAAATCTGCACCTGTCAATTTGCGCTGGAAGAAGAGCTTGACATTTGGAAGCGAGTCCAGGTGGTCGAGAAGGACCTTGTTGAGCTCACCACGGTCCACCGAGCGTTGAAATCGACCATGAACATCATATGCTTGAGATTGTTGAAGTAAAGCGACGCCGGAGGAGCGAACATGGATCATTCGCCCATGCATGGGAATTGTTCGACTCAGTATCTTGTCGAGCAGCTCAGGATTACCTGTCGACCGAATGGCGTTGATTCCCCGCTCGGATAAGGCAAGATTAATGGATTTTGTGAAATTCAGAGGTGTGGTATCCACATTGCGGAGGTCTGGAAAAGACAGCATCGGTCAGTTTCAAGACGCAGGCCATGTAATGTCTGAAGATGAGGGAGGAGCCAAAGAGCGACCAAGAGGTCAATGAATCAGATCATGGAAATATGCCATCTCGCGACATGAAAGAGAAGGAGGAAGTGAGTTCAATCAATCTCAGAGGGAGACAATACCGTCACGCAGTTCGTATACCTCCACCTCTGCTCCCCGAGACGAGGCATAGAGCGCTGCTAGTGACCCAACAGGGCCTGCACCCACCACTACCACCTTCTTCCCCTCCATGCTCCTCTCAATCTGCACCAGAGCAACAACGCAAGACGAGAAGAAGAGATATAAGCAGCAAATGCGACCAAAGAGGACAGCTTCTAGACAACGAAAGTGCTCAAAGTGATGATAGAAGTCGTGAATGGCAACACGACCAGAAAATGTTCACGTCATGTTACCAATTCACGGGCGTTAAGCATTAGTGGCCAAGGCGGCACGAGTGGCGTTTTAATTCGGTTCAACCTCGGCTATACCTTAGGACGTAAGCTTATCCGAGACAATCAGGGCTTTGGTGCTTGGCAAGGCTGAGGAGCTTCAGGAGCGCTAGGACTCACTCCCTGTACAGTATCAACAGGCCTAGAAACGACCTCTTTGAGATCTTGAACTGAGACAGGCGGATAGATGATATCGAAAATTGTAAGTTTCTTTCTTTCGTGACATAGTAAGAGCAAGCACGACGTATTGGGACCTAAGCAAGAAGTGTTGTTGGCCCTGCCAAATTTTTGCCATTTCCAAACCTAACAGTCAGATAAATCCCATGTCTCTTATGCCCGGTTTCTTTGTATGCGTCTGGTCCAACTCAAACAGGTCGATTTCAATCCAGTCGTTCAATCCCGATTGTTCATACATTCATCTCATCGTTCATGGTATTGTTAGGAGATATTGGCCGGATGTAGCGAGCTCATGACATCTCGCGACTCTGTGTCGGAGGGAATGATACCATAGTTGTCCATATCGGGAGCAATGCTACCCTCGATTCGTCGTCTGGCTTCCTGTCTTTCCTCATTTGTGATGCTGCTCTCATCCTTCTTCATATCCGGCTTGTATGGCTCAACATTCGGTGAGTGTCCGATGGACATACCGGCACGGAGCTGCGCAGTCAACAGTTAGTACCACATATGTAGATTGGAAGCCGAATCGAAGAACATACCAACGTCTCCAAAGCTCCAAGGCTGTTGTCGACGAGATCTCTGTCGTATACCATTTTTCCCGGTTCAAAGAAAAGGAGAATTGTGCTGCCGCCAAATTTGAAGTATCCAAGCTCTTCAGCTCGCTTGACTCGTTCTCCCGGCTTTCGAGTGATGACCGTTGACCCAACCATCATTGCTCCAATACAGACGTACATGACTCTGCCATGCGCAACAGAGTCAATAGGCACTAAAACTCTAACGTTCTCACCATAGACGTCTAACGCCGATCTGATGGCCATGGGATTGACCGTATAGTATTCACCCTCGATGGCTTTGGGAGTTCCCAAAACACCGTCAACCGGGATATGGAAGCGATGATAATCTTGAGGAGCAAGTCTGAAGATGCCCATACTTCCGCCTTTGTATCGTTTCGCTTCTAATGGATAAGCCTCGCCAAATAGTTTCTCAAGTGAGTAATCTCGGCCTTTGACCCAGATTCGTGTCGCGTCATCAATCGTGTTGAACACAACGGAGCGACAGTCTGCTGGGGAGACGATGATTTCAGGTCGATCCGGCGCACTGCATGGCCGAGCATTGGGTTTCAATGCTCGATAGAAGAACTCATTGAAATTCTTGAACTCAGAAGTGGGCAGTAGCACTTCAGACATGTCGAGTTGGTGGAAGGCAATAAATCCAGGAATTTGGGCGACCGAGGCCGGATCGTCAAACTTCTTTCCCTGTTTGATTGATAACGATCGGAGCATCTTTTTGATTCGTTTCTTCTCCATCTCGCCAGCGCCCAAACCTTTATAGAGCAAGCGGATGCCAATGCGGACGTACACAGACATTCGTTCTTCGTTGATCTGCCCTGTAATCCGGTCCTGAACAAGGATATTTGCGCTGTTAGCGCCTAACTTGTAACCCCCGTAGCTGATCTTGGTGATGACTTTGGAGTACCACTTTCGCTGGGCTTGGCTTTGGGTAACAAAACCACCCATCACCAAGTTATTGACCTGCCTCCAGTCCGAGCTGGCACAAGTGGCAATGTGCGTGATGATGTCGGCTTCGGTGCGCTTGTTCAACTTCGGCTGGTGGCATATTGGACACTCCCGGATCTCGATGACATGCTCCTCATCACCCTCGTCCGCAAGGTCATTGCCCAGAAGTTTCCCCTCTTCACCCGCCGCCCCTGTCGGTTCTTGTGTGATGCTGGGTACTTCATCGTTATTGTCAATCTTGGCAGGAATGATGTCTTTTGCTGTCGAAAATATTTCGGCGGTCTTAATTCTCTCGAGCTGCGACTTCTTTTCACTGCTTTTCTGTAGCTGTTCCTCCAGACACATGACGGCCTGGTCAAAGGTCAAGTCCACTTCCCCAACATCTTCATTCTCGGCGGCGAACCGTTTGAAGAAGCCGTCAATAGTTGATTCTTTAAGAGTCGATCCCAGCGTGTCAAGCATCGTGGTAAACTCGATCTTACTGATTCGCTTACTGTCGTCCGCATCATACTGCTTCAACATCGCCCTCCAGAACTGTTGCCGCAGCGCCTTATAAGACAGATATCTTCCTCGGATGTGAAGCTCAGGACTGTGTTTGTCTTCCCATCGTTCCTTGTTTTTGAGCTCCAATGGGATGACATATGGGATCATGGTCGGGTCTTCAGCGGGTTGGGCTAGCGGCGTTTCAGTGCCGCCAGGCAATTTCAGATTATTTCCGTTGTTTTCAGAAGGCACACTGGTAGGCGGCGAGACCCGAGCGGTATCGTCACTACTGCCGCTGTTATTTGTGCTGGACAGCGAAATTTGGGAGTCGTCCTTTTTCAACCCAGGCCTCGCCATTTTGGTTAGACTATTGGCCGATGTGGTACGTGACAAGGGAATACGAAATCTGCCCTTTTGCTGCATTGCCGGCGAATACTCCGGTGGCTCGGGAAGATCATAGAGGCCAGTGTCCGGATCCTCCTGAGGGGCAGCCTGGATCATTTTCTGGAGAGGGAATGAGGTCGAAGCCACAAAGTCGTTGCCTGACAAGCTGTCTCGATCGATCACAGAGAATGTAAAGGAGTAGCCAACCTCATGGCGTTTGATCTGGAACACCATCTTCTCATTATATACCGGGTTCAGATTGTGCCGAACCACCTTTGTCCGTAAGACCTTGCGACCCAATGCAGTAACAACGAAGGGGTCCATATCGAAAGAGGTCCGGGTCATGTTTCTTTCAGGTGGTAAATCGTTGATCTTGACAATCTCCAAGAAAATAATGCCATTGACATCATTGTCTTCTGAAAGGAAGTTGTAAGCTCTTGCTGCAATCGATCGGCGACGGAGACGTGCGAGTCTTCTCTTCTTTGCTTTCTTGTCAGCAGTTTCTGGTTTCTGTGTAGACTCGGTCTCTGTAACAGATTCCTCCTGATCCTCGTCAAGATCGTCAAAATCTTCGTCTCCTGCAAGGTCATCAAGATTGGAGGAGACACGGGATAGTTCGTCGTCCTCCTCTTCTGCACCCAAGTAGGCTTGGAACTTTTTCCGGATCTCGTCTGGGCTTGCGGATGGATTCGCGGAATCGACAAGAGAGAATTGCATGTACACTTCTCCCGAGACGTTACTCTGTTTCTTCCCTGAAGGCCTCCGCGAGTTCAGCCTGTACCACTTTGGCTGGGTCTGTATCTGTCCATTTGGGAAGATATCTTCGATCGGGATGTCAAACTCGCCCATATAGTCTTTGCCAAAGCGGTCTTTGTCCCAGCACATGCATTCAAGTAGGGGAACGCCGGTTAAAGGCATATCGAAGCAAATCTTCCATTCAGGATTGAGAGTTTTTGCAATGGAGGGTGTGGACTGTTTCGCACTGCCGAGGGTAACCACAAGATACTACGACTGTCAAAGGATATTCTGGCTTGTAGAGAAGAGGGTAGTAACGTACGGGATCGGAGGTGCCAGATCGGTCTTTTGGTGCTAGGTTTCTGGCCTGAGGAAGGGTGAGCGACAGCCAATATCGATTCTGGCACGAGGGCAGATACCTTTATAACATATACTTTGAGGATGAGTGGTTTTTGATCGACCAGGGCAACAGTGCTGTTGTTGTTGCTCGGAAGTCCTGGAGGACTGGGCCGTCTGCTTCCACCCCCATTGGGCGCAGAGCCACTGGCACTTTGATCTTTGTCTTTGTGTTTCGATCCTCCCAGATGGCTAAGGCCTCTAGGGAGTGATATGTGTACCATGTTGATTGTACTGAAGGACGCAGAAATCGTGGGAAAGTCTCGATGATACCGAACCTGTTATGGCCATACACAGGAGTTGTGCTATCAGGCCGAGGGACTGAGGCTGAAACAGGTCGATGGAAGCTGAAAGGGAAGGATTGAGGGGGTTTGGGGCGGCCTCAAGTTGGAGGAATTAAACGAGGGGTGGATGAAGACAGCAGCGGGCAGATAGAGGCCTGTTAAGCCCAAGAAATCGATGTGTGAGCTGTCAGGAAACTGACAAGGTGAAACCAGGTTTGGATAGTTGACAAAGGTGACTTGTGTCTGGCGCAGGTTGTGTCGGTCTGATCAGGTTGGTGGCATGCGCCAGCTGCGGTCTTGGTTATGATGCCATAAGTTTTTCTCACAGAGTAAGGTGCGAGGGGCAGCCCTTCCAACGCTATCTCTGGGCCTTGGGGGCGCAGGGAAACTCAGGGTCCTTTCTGCAACTCGCACATACGTATGCAAATTCACTTTTAGCCTTTTCACCACTACGTCGACAAATAGCCAAGTTGGCGATCTCTCCCCCTCTCTCCCCCAAACTGAAACTTCTCGACTATGTATGGCTAAGAGAGCTTGATCCGTTGAACCTGTCGTTCACGAGGCAAAGCCGATGATGGCTATTTCGCGGACTTCCAATCGTCAGCCTCGCTTGCTCCTCCGTCCCAGAGCCTGCCAGGCACCAGATCCTTCCCGATCCCTCGATCATCCAACCCGTCAGGCGTGCGAAGCTGGAACTTCTCGACCAGTCAGTCACAAAAGCGTCACGTTGGTCCCTGGTTCGCAGCCGTTACAGCAACCAGAGTCAAGCCGGCTGACCATATAACTGGGACTTGGCCTGTACATATCATGCCGGAGGTCACGGAAGCCGATGTTACCAGTTATCTGACGTGGAGCAAATATCCACCCACCTTAGGTCCAGCAATTACTTAGAGTGACTTCGAGCGGTGTCCAAGGGTCTCTGACATACCCCCATAACCGATACCACGAAGGTGTCGCTAGACAAGCCACATCCCAGCGACAAGATATTTGGATGCCAAGGTCCTTGATACACAAAAGAAGAGAAAATTATAGTAGAAGCGTGGATGCTGCTCGAGAAAACCCACAGAGTAGCGGTCAAGACCCGCGAAGCTATCGGAAACGGAACAAGGCGTCAACAATATTTCTATGAGAAGACCATGTATGCCCAGAAACCGGAAAGCCGAACCACAGAATCCAGCACAAAGTTATTCCCACGCACAAACGCTGGCGCCCAGTCCATAATCGTCAGGACTCGGGGACAACTAACTGTGGGTCAAGTTGGCATTTCTTCAAGCCGATATTCGAGTATGCGCCAATCTTTACCGATAATCGATGATCGAGCGTCCCAGCTGGGTCACAGGCTCGACTCGTCATAAACCCTCCTTTCACCATACAGTTCTTTTCTTTCTCTCACTCCCTGTGTGCTTACGTGCTTTGACTGGGCTGTTGGTCTTGCTTTTCGTAGTTGACGAGGCTGGTGCTGGGAAGAGGGTTTCCACCTCTTTCACAGCCTGTTCTAACGAATCACAGAACAGCTGCTTCACATGAGCGACGACCTCCTTGAACGATGATGCGGTCACTTCGCCCAAGACGGCAACGTCGACTTCGCGCTCCACGTGCCATAACTCCTCGCAGTTCAACGTCAATCCTTGTTTGAGCCGAAATCCATTGATGTATAACTCAACCTCGGCACCCCTTAATGTTGGACCTCCTTCTGTGGAGTTTGTTCTGGCGGGAGTTTGTTGCTGCGACAGTGTCGTGTCTAGCACCTTGGGTAGAACAAGTCGGTGAGTATTGTAGAGTGTTGACAGTCTGCGGCCATGGTGTGCGCAGAAGGACAGGCATGTCAAGGAGGATTGTGTGTCGGTGCTCCTCCGCAACACTAACATCACTGTATCATTTATACGGCTGTTCGCAAGTTTATCCTTGATATGGATTATGGTTCCAGGAGTGAGTCTCTCTTCATGGCCACTTGTCCAAGTCGTTCTCAACTCTCCGCCAGCACTACTTGTATCAGTGCTTTCGATAAAATCGGTCAAGTCATGGAAGTGATTTGGCCGAACTGGGCGACGGGTGGAGAACATATTGAAGGAACTTAGCATGTAGTGTGATGATTCTAGATTCTATGCGATGAAAAATGGTAGAGCACGGATGTCGCACATCGAGGGGCTCCCTACGCCTTATATAATTGTGGCAGGTTCCATTCATCAAACAGTTTCTTGCTGGGACTGGGGACTTTTGTGAGAGGTGGTCCTTGACAGGCCAGCGAGTTGAGTCCCTCGTCCTCACTCAGCCTTGCAGTCCATTTGGCGACGGGAAAGGCATCCACTATTAAGCCACCACGGGTTGCGGATTGGTTGCCTTCTAGGACGGCACAGTCCATGGCAATACCGAGTACAAGCCACCTGGACTAATAGTATCCGTCACATCCAGGCTTGAGTCATGCCCCCTACAGAGAGGTCACAACGAAATGCGGGGTACATACTCTGCGCTTTGTACGCTGCGCTCTGCAGCCGATGGCTCTACAAGGCACAAGGTAACCGGAGTGGGATTGTCTTGTCACTTTATACTTTTGCTCTCAAAAGCCCCCTTGCAGAAGTGTCATATATCATAGAGTAACACGGGCCAAGCTTCTGGGACTTTTGAGTCTCGGACACGGGACTGAAGGACTTGCACACGTGCCAGATGAGTGTCGATCGCTCTTCTTCTGTCGCGAAATATGAGTCCCAATAGAACCCGGGACTTGGAATTGATACACCTGTGCCGGACAGATCCCTGGAGGACGCGATTTCTTCAATCTCAGCTCTCGCCACTTGGATTAACAGGCAAGTATTCTCCCGCAGTGCGTTCTACTTGTCTCTTCTCTTTCAGGACATCGACATTTTCATCCTGGACGCTCTTGATAACCAGATGAGCAGAGTCCCTCTCTTCCACCACGATCCCGCCTCCTTTTGCCATCGACAAAAGTTCAGGACTTGCCTTTGTTCGCTTGCCGGTCTCTTTATTCCAAACCCAGCCTTCCTTCAACCACATCCACGTGAGATATGCGCGCAGTTCCTTATCCAATGGAACCACCCTCTTCCACTCTGGTTCGAATGTTCCTGGGTCATCCGCTCCCTCGCCATTCCAACTCTTAGCAACACCTCTCAGCCGATCCCGGCAAAACATGCGCCAACTGTCATGAGAGTATGGTCCGAGTCCAGGCAGATGAGAAATCTCCCATGCCACGCGCTGATCTTCGTCGTCGACAACTTCATCTTGCTTGACATCTCGTCCGTCACCCTTCAACGGATAATTGTGCTTTCTATACCGCTTTCCGCGTGAAGGTGGGCTTTCGAGCCAGACCTTTGCCATGGCTACACATTTTCTCGCTCGTTGGTTCTGGAAACCTAGCTCATAGATGATCGAGGTAATGTCGCTAACTTCGGCGTTGGCAAGGTCGGTCGGTGTAGGGTATTGTGACATGAGTTGATAGAAGACGGGCATTGCACGCTCCCCAGGCGTTTTATTCAAGAAGATGGTGGCGATAAGAAGACGAAATGGATCATGAGCCAATCTTTCTTGCATCAAGCCGAATTTGTCGTGGGAAAGAGGCGGGAACGGTAGTGTCGCTAGGAATGTAGGTCGATGTTTGTTCGCCTGCGGGAAGTAGGGCGACGTTGTTGACCTCCGGGACTTGTTGGTCTTGGTCTTGGTCTTGAGCTGTCTGGCTCCAGGACCGGCCAAAGAGGACTTAGGCTCTGGAGAGAATGGGTCCGGTCCAATATCATCGGGTACGTCTGTGAGACTTGAGTCCGAAGAGAGCTCATCCACGTTCAGTCCATAATATACTCGGCTTTTGGCAGGTGTTTTTGGTGGCGTGGCAATGATTGAAACATCCTCAGAGTCTGCACCTAATGCACTGTCGAAGCCCTTGTTCGTGATCTTTTCTGTCTCCATGGAGTTGTCCTCCCGCTGCTCATCTTTGCGGGGCTCCTTCACGAAGTGCCTGGAAACATAGGTGACCCTGCGACGTGCACCAGCGCCTCTGCGCCTTTGGGATATTTTTGTTGGTAGCCCAGCTTGAACCTTCTCTCGTTCGCGTTCATCATCAGCAATCATGCCCAGGTCATCGGTTCGGATGACTGCCAGCTCGGTGTCTGAGAGCGGAGAAAGAGGTGGCGACGCCAATATCGTACCAGAGGAGATTAGCGCAGCTGCGGTCATCGTTCAGGCGACGTGACGCGCAGCGCCGGATTGTCAGTGATTGGAAGAAGAGAACAAAGAGTCTCGTAGGGCTTCTTCCATTTTGCGGCTCTGCTCAGGTCTTTCATACCTCAACGAGTTACTGCTGGTACCCAGCAAGGGCAGGCAGCAGTGTGTGTGGACCCAATAATGCATTCACATCTCTACGAATATTCACCTTCGTAGGAGTGACTTAGAGGCGACCCCAGCCACTCGTATTGGTCACTTCTCACTGATTGCAAGTCCTTAGGCACTGTGGCACTCTATCATGTTCCCCACACTCAAGAACCAGTCTGCAGATCATCTCTCTCCAGAATGATTTTCCTCGTGGCTGTTGCTCGAGTTGAGGCCAACGAACTGTCGAGAAACACCAGCAAGCATCGCTACTCGCCATCTGCTGGGGGAATGCCAGAGAACCAATCATAATCGAAATGGCCGAGCGAGGCGAGACAGCTCCACTGCCCTTTGGCGCGCAATTTCGCTCTGACTGCGACGGTGGTATTTCCTGTCTTCTGCCGGTCGTTGGCGAACATGGCGCTTGAGGCAAGTTTTGTACAGCTCTGACTGAGCAGCTGGAGAAGCTTCTCTGCAACGCTTTCGTGAACGACTTAGCCACCGAACGCGAACCCCGTGCGCCATTCAATCCTCCTCTACAGAAATCGAGCCTGTGACGGATACGAGCATGGGTGAAGCAGCAGCAGAGATACAAGTAGGGGAGGTGGAAAAAATTACAACACCTACGATTCGACGTAAACCTGTGCCCACATCGCTGCCACCCCGAGTTCCTAATAAAACCGAAAGTCTCCTGAACCGATGGAAGAACCTCTCGCGCAGAGTTCGCATTTTTGTCCTAGTCGCTGTCCTTGCCATCATTGCGCTTATCATTGGACTTGCAGCAGGTCTCTCGACGCGCAAGCACAAGCAGAACCTGCCATTACCTTTGGGAAATGGTGGTCCATACACTGGCGATTTGACCTACTATGAGCCGGGTCTGGGAGCATGCGGACTTACGTCCGATGACAATGACAAGATTGTGGCCATCTCACACATTGTTTTTGATGCAGTCAGTGTTGGCAGCAATCCAAATGCAAACCCATTGTGTGGCAAGAAGATCAGGGCACGCAAGGACAACAAGAGTGTTGATCTGACGGTGGTAGATAGGTGCACGGGCTGTCAGCCAATGGACATCGATGTCACCATCAACACTTTTGCTGATCTGGCCGACATCGACCTTGGTAGAGTATTGGTGGAATGGAATTGGTTGGAAAATGTTCCTGCTGGAGCCCAATCCTGAAGCATACTGTGGTTATAGCAGGTGATGGCGTGCGAGTCGGCAGATCAGCTTCAGCGGATACGGCGCTAGGGCAGCATTAATGAGACACAGCATCCTCCCAGCACGAGGTATACTCAGCCTTGCCTAGACGAGGAAGACGACGCAGTTTCGTTACTGCCGAGCATACAAAGGACCAACAATATCGAAGGAGATCGACGCCCGCAATCGGACATGAGCGTTGCTCGATTGAATATTCATTATGTACTCGGTACTTTGACTCCACGACTCTGGGACAGACACTTCGCTCAGACTTCAAGAGAATACCTCGAAGCGCGAATTTCAAAAAAGATGTCTATTGTGGCATTAGCAGACGGGCAGCAGTATGTCTAGTGCTCATCACCGCGAAAGGATATTTCTAACGGTGTTCAAGGTCCAGCGTTACGCTCGATGTTCTCCACGATGTCGCAGCGCGCAATAACATCCGAATTGCGTCCAAGGCAGACGAAGAAGCATACCTTCTTGTCCTTCAATCTGCTGACATGACGGCTACAAATGTCGACAGCCTGCCAGACTACATCGATCCTCGGCTCGAGCCTGTTCCTACGACCGGTGGACGAGAGTATTGGAAATCCAAGAATAATAGTCACAATGCATGGAGTCACCAAGCGCATATTGTCGCAGAAAAACCGCTGTCGGACGTCCTCAAAGGTCGCAAAGTCATTATGAAAGATAACATGTCTGTTTATGGTCTACCACATACTTGTGGAACTTTCCCTCAACTTGTATCCAAGGATGGGAAATATCCCATCGCTAAGATCGACGCAACAATAACAAAGAGATTGCTGGAGGCTGGGGCCACTATAGCAGGCACATCAACGTGTGAAAACTACTCTCTGACGCCGATGTCCTACACTTCAGCGAATGGGCCGGTCCATAACCCTTGGCTCCACGACCATAATACCGGCGGGAGTACAAGCGGAGGGGCGTGTCTCCTCGCGCTGGGGAACGCTCGGGCAGCTGGAGTCCCCGGTCTAGAGGAAGCTGGGGAAGATATTGATATGGCGATGGGTGGCGATCAAGCAGGAAGCATCCGCCTTCCGTCTGCATACTGCGGCGTCTATGGTCTCAAGCCTACGCATGGCCTTGTTCCGTATACAGGTATCGCTGGACTCCATCCAATGATCGACTATACAGGCCCGATGGCGAGAAAATTGGAGGATATAGCCACTCTACTTACGGTGGTTGCCGGCTATGATGGGCTTGATACACGCATGACGCCTGAATCGCCACTCCGGCAGCATGTTGCTGATTACGCAAAGCAACTCGCTTCTGAAGAGCACCCGGGCAAAGGCCTCAAAGTCGGCATCATTACGGAGTCACTCAGTGCTCCAGGCACACAGTCAGAAGTCGCAGAGATCGTGCGTTCCGCCGCATTGGAACACTTCAAAGCGAGCGGAGCGACAGTTTCCGAAGTTTCAGTCCCGATGCATCTGCTCGGTCCCGCCATCTGGACCGCAGCAACCAGAGCGCACCTCGCTGGACTGGCCATTGGTGGCCGCATACCTGACGTACTCAGCCATAATATTCCGCATCTGTCCCTGAGATGGCCCCCAGACCAAGAAATGTACGATCTATTGACCGTGGCCAACCCTGCAGTCATAAATATCATCTTCTGCGAGACGTTTCTGAAAGAAAAATTTGGTCCAGAAGTCCAGGCGAAGGCACATCGCCATGTCTTGCAATTAAGAGCAGCTTACGACAAGGCGCTGGAAGAATTTGATGTCCTTATCACCCCTACGACGCCAGCGGTTGCTCCTCCACATCCTGATTTGCGCCCAGAGGCCGAAGGTGGCAGCAGCGTCATGGACAAGATCAAACTAGCAGTTGGATCAACCAACCACACATGTCCGTTCAATGTCACAGGTCATCCCGCATTGAACGTGCCTTGTGGTTGGGCTCCTGCACGGAACGGGAGCGGGATGCTCCCTGTTGGTATGCAGGTGATTGGCAAGAGATGGGATGATATTGGAGTCTTGAAAGCCGCCAAAGCATTCGAGCTGGGAGGCGGGGGCTTGGACGCATGGCCTGGTCAAACGAAAGGGTGATGCGGTGATTGAATAAGGCTGCTTTTCCTTGTTCACCTTTCAGCCTACATGGCTGTTCGTTACTCGCAGAAGCCACTGATGCTGTACTTCTCTCTGCGCCCCGTATTCTGATCACCTCCCCAGGAATGCCAAACTGGTTTGGAACCTACAAGGCCATCAAGAGGCACTGGAGGGCGGGCGACGATATCGCCATTTGAAGTTGACTTTCTTTCACCGGCCACAAACTGCGAATGTTGCAGATGGTCGAACTCTCGTCTATATTGTTCTCTTCACCATTTCCATACAGGCAGCAGCAGCTTCTTCGGATGGATAGATTCTGAATTCTAGATCCAGCACTACAAGACTTGCGTGCGGCACGCCCTGCTTCCGTAGACCTGGTTCTCTTACACGACCTCAGAAGGATCCTCTGTCTTTCCGTCTTCCGTCTCGCGGCTGTCGCACAGGCCCCTGTTTGTGTGTTTCAGAATTCCATTTCCATTCTCGGATCCTGAACACGATGCTTTTACCTACGTGGCACCTATACCTATACCATCCTCACTTCTTACTAGTCCCTCTTTCTCGTCTTCAGGGACTGGCTGCGCGGTTCGATATCTGACTGTGCCCGCCGTCCCAAGTAGCCGCTTGCTGCGTAGCGATTGATTAGGGTGTCGCTCCTCGAGTTGCACCATCCCCCGGCACTTGACTTGTGCCACGACCGAGAAACCGGATCAGGTAGTACCCGGCGTCAGTGACATACCTGTGTGCCGTTTGTCGAGAAAGCAACAACGGCCTTTGTGGTTGTCAAATACCTCTTCATCTGCACTGCTACTCTAAAGTTTGATACCTCCAAACCCCTTGAACCCATCATAGCCTCGTTATCGTCGTCAAGTTGGTCTTCTGCTCTCCTCGAGCCTGTACTCACCATCACAAAGATATCCAATGACGTGGTTCAGGACGTTGACCGTAGGGGCCTTTTTTGGCGTGGCTGTTGCACAGGACTTGACCACAATACTCGCAAACACACCCGAGTTGTCCAACCTTACCGCCTACCTGGAACTGTTTCCGGACCTTACGACGACGTTGGCATCACTGCAGAACATCACTCTTCTTGCACCCAACAACGATGCTTTTGCGAAGCTGTTCAACTCCTCCGCAGGAGTTGCGCTGGTTCAGAACGACACTTCGGCGATTGAAGCGCTGTTGACTTACCACGTGTTGAACGGGACGTATGCCGACTTTAGCGACAAGCTGTTCATCCCAACTCTTCTACAGTCGCCTCAATTTACCAACGTAACTGGCGGTCAAGTGGTGGGAGCAACTTCCAACAAGAACAAAGTTTCCTTCACCTCGGGGTTGCTCAATAATGCCAGTGTTAGCAGCGGCCCTGTCACCTTCAGTGGTGGCGTGGTACACATTCTTGACAGCGTCTTGACTGTCCCGCAAAATATATCGGATACAGCAATTCAACTCAATCTCTCTGCTGCTGTGGGTGCTCTCACCAATGCAAACCTGGCGACAGCGGTCGACATCCTATCTGATATTACCTTGTTCGTACCCAACAACGAAGCATTCGAGGCGATTGGGTCTGCTCTCCCAAATCTGACCACGCAAGACTTGTCCTCGAT